ATTTCTACACTTTCTTTGAATTTTCTGTCGTAAGTTCTTTTTTCTTTATGCAAAATCTGTATATTTAATTGATCTATATTGCAGTTATTGGTTACGCAGTGATCATGAAAAACTGAATTTAGACGACTATATTTTAAATCTGATATATGCTCTTTTACACGTGTTTTTAATGTTCTTTTAGTTTCACCTATATAAAAACTATTGATTTTACAAGTGCAGGGTATTTTATATACAACATTTTTTATTTCGTTTTTATTTTCTATTTGCTTTTTTGAACGTTGTTTAGCATTTAATCTGGATATTAAATTTTTATAGTTTGGGGCAAGCTTTATATTGTTTTTTTGGAGTTCCTTATTAATTTTTTCATACATATGTTTTATGTACGGAAAACTTAAGTATTTAATTTTTTGCTTTTCTTCATCTTTTTTAACAGGGAAAGCAATACTATTATCTATTTTTTGTTGCCAATCATTAATTAATCTGGTAGGGTATCCGTTTAAACTAAATTTTTTGTGTAAGTCATTTATATATTTTCCTTTCTTTCCTTGTTCACTAGTTCTATTGAGTATATTTTTATATTCCATAGAAAAAATGTTCTTTTTTATATGCAGAGGAATATTAATGATAATTCAATGTTTTGTTGATCGAACATTGTTTTTTAAAATTTTCGAACATTAATTTGTTTTCTTTCCTAGTAATAACTATGTTAAGGTACCTTATGCTATTATCAGTTGTTGTTTCTTTTTCGATAGTAAATTGGATTTCTGTATAAATATTATTTATTAATTTACTTATTTTTTCGGTTTTTACTTCAGCTTCATTATATACTATTAGAACATAGTCTACGTATCTTATATAGTAATGTATACCAGGAATATCTGTAATTTTTATGTCTATTTCAATCATTATCAGTTCAGCTTATTTCGGGCCTATAACCGACCCCATGCTAATGCCATCTTCCTGTGTGTAATATTTATTGTCTATTTCAAAATAGTTACTCTTGTAAGCGAATTCTAGTAGGTCTATAATATAAAATTCAACATTCATTTTTCTCAATTGGTTATTAATCATTTGCCATGTTATTGATGGGTACATTTCTATTACATCAAGACTAGCCAATTTAAACGTATTTTCTATCTGGATCTTCTTCAAATCATTTAAAAATTCTTCTGTATTTTTAATAGAATAAATTGAATTATCGTAACTTTTAAGTTTTTCTTATAAATATTTTTCTAAGTTGTACAAAACAGTAAATTTGAAATCGACAATTGGTCGTACATTTTCATTTTGTTTATGAGTTTTTAGTTGGATATTTAATCGAGGAGTTCTCTCGTTATCCTCAGATAATATAAATGCTTTTTCATTTTTAGTAACATCCCCCAGTTTTTGTAGTTTCGTAATTCGTTTTTTTAGTTCTTCATATATGATTTTTCTCGGATTAATCGGTAGTTCTCTGAAATTTTTTCCATTTATGATTTGTAGTTTTTTTAAAACAATTTAGTCTTGGGTTACAACTACAATTTGCTTAGACTTATCTGCTCTAATTATATTAAGATTATTATCATTTAAGTACTTACGCAATTTTTCAATTTCTGTTTTGTATTTATAATAATTTTTATCCCTGACGATTGCTATCTTTTGTCTCCTAATATGTGCTTTTATAATGTTACTTAATTTAATTTTCATTATCTCAGAGTCTTCTTCTGTCAATCCTCCACACACTTTGTCTAGGCTTGGTATTATATCTATCACTCTCCAACTATTAGGACCGTTAAAGTCTAATCCTGTCTGCATTGTCTCGAGAATATCTTTAGGAATCACATACTCTGTTTTATTTAACACAAGGGATTTTTTCCATTCCGATATCTCCTCTATAGAGGGGTATTTAAATTTTTCTATTAATTTTATATTTTTATCTATTCTATATTTATCGATACTACTATTATATAGAATTTTAGTTTCTTCATTTTCCTGTTGATTTCTCTGGTTTTTATATTTTTGTAGACTACGCTTTAATCTTCGAATTTTAATGTATTTAAATTTTACTGTAGATTTGATGATTCTAGAGTTTATATATTTCCTCTTGCGTGTTGGTATGTTCTGGCTGATGGACTTGGGGAGAGAAAGTGTTCTTAGTTGTCTATTATCCGCAGTGTGAGCTTTTAGGTAATCTAGATCGACAGCAAGTTTTTTTATCTCACCTTGTATCCTCATGACATAGTCTGTTTCTCTGTGCTGTTCTTTCTTCATATCTTCCTATTCTGATGTCAACTGCCGTTTCTGTTTTCCAGTAATTTTGTTGTTGTTATCGAAACCGTGTTGTTATTTATGTTTGTATACTGGCACAATGAAGTGACCTTCTTTATCAACACTTGGCAAGTTTTCAATCTTTATTCAGTTAGAATGCTGTGCTACACATTTGCGTTTTGGGTATTCTCCCCTCTTCAGCTAACTAAACAAGTATAAAATAACATATTCAACAATAACCGAACTTAAAATAAAATTATACAATAAAATTGATTTTTAACCAGTGAAACATATCTCACTCCAATACAGACACCCAACTAGTACATAGCAGAACTTTAGACGACTTAAAAGTTTTCATGACGACTACCATAAATGCCGTCTTTTTACACTTTTTTACAATGACACAATCGGTTTTCTTAATTTTTAACACGCAGACAAAGTAATTGATAAATAGTACTAATTAAAACTGTTACATAAAATCNTAAAAATGTAATACTAATGTATTTTGAGTTATATGTAAATTGGATAACAGGACAGTAGTTCACAAAATATGCCTGGTGGAATTTAAACAATAGATGTGTTTTTTAAAAAATGTTTTATATATTTTTTTCAAGATAATAGATGTCTATCAATTGCCCTGTCAGTTCATTAAATCAAGGTATATCGTGATATATGCAAATTGGCCGACTAGATGATAGTGTTGGAAAGATGGCCTACAGGATATGCTTGGAAGAACGAAGACGAAGGGCATGATTTTATGTAACAGTTTTAATTAGTACTATTTATCAATTACTTTGTCTGCGTGTTAAAAATTAAAAAAACCGATTGTGTCATTGTAAAAAAGTGTAAAAAGACGGCATTTATGGTAGTCGTCATGAAAACCTTTAAGTCGTCTAAAGTTCTGCTATGTACTAGTTGGGTGTCTGTATTGGAGTGAGGTATGTTTCACTGGTTAAAAATCAATTTTATTGTATAATTTTAGTTTATGTTCGATTATTGTTGAATATGTTATTTTATACTTGTTTAGTTAGCTGAAGAGGGGAGAATACCCAAAACGCAAATGTGTAGCACGGCGTTCTAACTGAATAAAGATTGAAAACTTGCCAAGTGTTGATAAAGAAGGTCACTTCATTGTGCCAGTATACAAACATAAATAACAACACGGTTTCGATAACAACAACAAACTATATTTATACAAACTACATAAAAATAATCAGAATTGTTGGTGATAGTCATCTTATAATTTGATATCATTTTTCTTATAATGAAAATTGATATACTTGATATTAGTTAACATCATGTACTCAAATCTAGAAATGTAAATCATTTAAAGATTACTTATCAATTTATACAAGGTGTTTCAGCTAAAAGTCAGGATTTTAATTCTCAGTATCTCTTGAACAACTCATTTTAAAACTTTGCACTTTTTTTGTAAACTGAAGTACAATTTCTTTGGTTTCATCATTTGCAAAAGAGGACATTTGTGTTCCTATAAAACATGCTCAAAGGAAGTTTAAAAATGATCATACATCTTTGATTTCTTGATTTTATCTTGCCTGATAAAGTCATTAGAAATTTACTTCACAAGTGTGACGGCCTGAAACCCTTTTTCTGTCTTAAAACAGTATAAACCTCGGGATTTTCTTTGTAAAGGGAAAAAGGAGACTTCTGTGGTCAATGACCGAGATGCTCTCCTCATAAAAAAAGGGAATGTTAAAATATCAATAAAAGAAATCTCCTCCATTTGTTTAACGGTAATTCTATAGATGTTAATATTAACAAGATGGGAATAAGAGATGTTTCTTATCCCCTCTTTGGTTGCATGTGACACGTGGTTACAGCAATAAATCACCTCGTTCATAGTCAAATGCAACATTTGATATAAACAATATCTAGATTGTTGACCAGTTTAAAGAAATTATTGTCAGCTGAGTGTTAATTTATGGATGAGAGCCGTCAAACCTATAGAAATTTATATTATAAAATCATATCTTCTAGACACCAATATCAATAAATTAAACAGACTTCTCTGTGCCAGTGGTCCGTACTAACTCGATCCAGACATCAACACACTAACAGGTGTGCATATAAATCATTAATAATGTCATAGTTCTCACCCCCCTCAAATTTGGTATAAAGAGGGCTCACGGCCAGTTATCAGGGTGCCTTCAAGACAGCAAGAAACAACTGATCAACTGCCTTTAAACGCTGACTGCCGACAACGGACCACTAAGCAAGATTCTACTATCTACAACTTAGTAAGTAGAACTCTCTCTTTACTCTCAGGTGGACTAGGGCTAATTAAGAAATAAATATTAATGAGGATCAGAGACTCTCTTCTGTCGGAAATACGTGAGACGCAATCCAGCTAACCACCTATCGGAACTTCGGTTTGAAATTATTATTATTATCAATCTTGTTCTTTGTAACCTTTTTGTATAGCATTTGTTAATTAAATTTATATAATATCTTAAACATGCGTGTTTACTCATACTCGGCCAACACCTTATCGACTTATCCACGACCTCCCACTCGATTTTCGCCCTCCTAAATTGCCATCCACTGACCCTGTGAGCGGGACTCGTCTTCCCATTGTCGGAAAACGGTTTAAGCTTTGATGCTTAAACCCCAATTCTCACACAAGTCTGGCCAAATAGTTGATGTAAAAAGATTGGGCAGAAAAAAATAGTCGATTGTATCAGGATGTTCTGCATGTTGTTACATGAATTGGTGATTTGGAAATCAAGCACATTGAATACTTCATATGGCAACATTCATAATAAATAACTGTATGGATTAAATCCTAATAAACAGAACTTTAATTAACAAAAAGCTGATATTGTTTAACTTGATTTGTTCAGGAGATATGGAGAATTGAAAACCTGAATTTTATTACATAATATTTTACTTGCTGTTTGTTATCACTTAATATCTTCTGCCAAATAGTTTCAGTCAAATCATTTAATACTGTTTATACTTGAAAATTATTTCAAATGATTTTATTATAGTTTTGGAATTGATATAACATTATTTTTTATGATTTCTCTATAGAGGGGTATTTAAATTTTTCTATTAATTTTATATTTTTATCTATTCTATATTTATCGATACTACTATTATATAGAATTTTAGTTTCTTCATTTTCCTGTTGATTTCTCTGGTTTTTATATTTTTGTAGACTACGCTTTAATCTTCGAATTTTAATGTATTTAAATTTTACTGTAGATTTGATGATTCTAGAGTTTATATATTTCCTCTTGCGTGTTGGTATGTTCTGGCTGATGGACTTGGGGAGAGAAAGTGTTCTTAGTTGTCTATTATCCGCAGTGTGAGCTTTTAGGTAATCTAGATCGACAGCAAGTTTTTTTATCTCACCTTGTATCCTCATGACATAGTCTGTTTCTCTGTGCTGTTCTTTCTTCATATCTTCCTATTCTGATGTCAACTGCCGTTTCTGTTTTCCAGTAATTTTGTTGTTGTTATCGAAACCGTGTTGTTATTTATGTTTGTATACTGGCACAATGAAGTGACCTTCTTTATCAACACTTGGCAAGTTTTCAATCTTTATTCAGTTAGAATGCTGTGCTACACATTTGCGTTTTGGGTATTCTCCCCTCTTCAGCTAACTAAACAAGTATAAAATAACATATTCAACAATAACCGAACTTAAAATAAAATTATACAATAAAATTGATTTTTAACCAGTGAAACATATCTCACTCCAATACAGACACCCAACTAGTACATAGCAGAACTTTAGACGACTTAAAGCAGTGTTTCCCAACCTTTTTTGTGCTATGCCCCACCTAAGCCTTTCTAAAATTCTCATGCCTCCCTAACATATACAGTGGCTATACCAGGCATGGCCAACATAGGGCTTGTCTAATGAATTAATGTGGCCCGCGATTAATCTTCCAATATTAGCTACTCAAGTCCGAATAGCTCGATGAAAAATTTTGATGCCTAAAAAAGAAAAAAAAAAAGTCAACAACTCATTTTAAAATTGCCCCCCTTAACAATCGAATTGTCCCCTTGTGGGGCGTGGGCCCCACGTTGGGAAACACTGACTTAAAGGTTTTCATGACGACTACCATAAATGCCGTCTTTTTACACTTTTTTACAATGACACAATCGGTTTTCTTAATTTTTAACACGCAGACANGCATATGTTAAAAAGTGGTTTTAGTTTGTCAGATATCAAAGGTAAGTTTATAAATTTTTATATATTTCATTATTAGTTTTTAAGAAAAAAAAAACAAAAATTACATTAGAGTAGCATTTTTTGCACAAAGAACATAATGTTTTCATGTAGTTTGTACTAAGTTAGATATACCGAAGTATATCTTAGTGTAACAATAATGAATCGTATTGAGGACTTCACAATAAGTACACGGATTTAGACCGACAATATGAATTTAATTAACAATGTTATTCTTCGCGATTACAACTTGTCTACCATGAATGTAGACGATGAAATTTTACAATTAATTACAAGAAGATTCCTATGGTTGCCGTATTCTATCGTACACTACCTCCCTATATTCTTCGGATTCGTTGCTCCCACGTGCAGTCCTTCTTTGTCTACCACGATGTTTCCAAACCGTCCGTGAGATCCTTTCGTTTCTAATCTCCCTCCAACAGTCTCAAGTCGACAGAAGCCCACAAAGGACAAAGGCCCCTTCCCACGTGGACGTGCTCCTTTTATATCCCTTCCTTCCTCCGTTACCCAAGGTACCGTTCGCGCAGCCAATCATCGCCATGATATGGCCGTACCCTATCCCGAGAACTACTTCTACCTGCGGAGCACTACAAGTTTTAAGTGCAGTTTCATAAGTTGTATGAAATTTATTTATAAATTCACATTTAATGGTGAAGTTAACAGTCAGATATATTAATTGATATGTGTACAAACACATCAAAATCTTTGCCTTTATTCCATGCAATGAGGATGTCATCAACATAATGTAGCTGTAAGACTGGAAAATTAAGAATGATGGAGATCTTAAATATTTTACATTCTGAACTTCTTACTAGTATTTCCACCAACACTTATGACAAAGGAAAACCATTGGGAGACTCTGTTGTTACAAGTAGATTACATTATCATCCTCTGAGAGAGAAAATTATGAATGATGGAGATCTTAAATATGGCATCTGGGTAGCCTACAATCACGTAGGACATTTTCTCAATTTTGCTATGTAACTTTTATCAATTTTATCTGTATTGATATTAATAAAAAAAGCAAAAAGTTTAATAACCATAGAACAAGATGCAGTGGGAAGTCATTGTCTATCAGGAACCTTTTGGTAAGTGTTGTCACCTCAAATATAAAGACAGAAGGAAGCAAAGATTCATCAATCTTATAAAAACTGAGTAAAGAATAATCAATAACCTGCTAAATCAGCTAAAATTGTGTGTTTTGCTTCCATGGACAGAAAAGGGTATTCATCTAAGATATTCCAAGGAAACTTTGATAATGAATAGTTTTGTTTCATATATTATGAATACATATGGACAAATGTTGAAAGAGGCTTTTTTTTAGTCCATATCAATTATATGATAAAGATGTAGTTTGCTTGCATTTAAAAGAAACTGTAATTTCTGTTATTGTTTCTTTAACAGTGATTAAGCAGTATTTTTTAGCATTTGGGAACCTTTTTCAAATTTTCAATTATAATTTTTAGACAAAATCAATCATGTGCATTCTTGCTTTCATCCTCATTTGGGATTGCAGACTGCTATATAACATACATGGTATTGTTCGAGTTTCCTGTCAAAAACTGAAAAAAATATGAAAAAATTTACTTGGGTTTTTTTGTTTTTGTGAATATAAGTATTTTGAATTGTCAAGTGTTCAATTTGAACACTTGACACCAACCTATTTTGAATGTATAAACATAAACTAAAAGGTTTTTAATTTTTCAAAATGTTACACATGTGCATGCTGATATAAAATTTTTATCAACTTTTCATTTGCCATTGTATACATTAGAGTAAATTATGGTAAAAATCAGTTTCTTAGGCAGATTCCTTATGGGAAATGTTTATAGAACTTTAAATAATTTCAGAAACATTTCAATTTTGAAACTAAAATTAAGTTTTTGAATAATCAAAATGTTTATAGTTTTGACTCATTTTTTATACATACACTTGATTAATTTTAATTGTTTTATATATTAGTCTTTTATAAAATTATTTGAATATTTAATAAATTATATTATAGATCTACAAAGAGGTTATTCAGAAGATGTAGCAGAAGGTGAAGATCATCCTCATGTACCACCACGCCAACATTCTGTTAAAAGATCAACTCTGACAAAAACACAATCAATGGAAATGGGAATGCAGAGTTTAACAGTACCTGAAAGACCAGAAGAATTGGGTAAATTAAGAAGTGCATCTAGTGAAGAAATACATAAAAAAGGAATGGAAGATAGTCAACTTTCTGATCCAACTTCAGATGATTTAGAAAAGAAAAAACGAGGAAAGTCTCCATTTCGGTTTTTTCGCAAAAAAGAAGAAAAAAAAGAAGAAGAAGAGCATCTGCATCCTCGTTTTGAGCACTCACCTGAACGATCTAAAGCATTAACTGTCCAAACTGGACCTACACTTGCTGTACATACTCCATCTATGAGATTATCTCCAGCTGGATCTGTTAGTCACATTGTTCCACCTTCAGTGCCAGATAGACCAAATACTTTATCTCCAGGTATAGCTGATAAGGGAACTCATACTCCAAGGAGAGCATCATCTAAAACTAATTTGGATACTTTAGGAGATGATGGAGGAGATGGAGGAGATTATTTGGATCCATCAATAATTGATTTAGTTGATGAATTTTTTTATGGTATTAGAATATTTCCTGGTCAAGATCCAAATCATGTTTATTGTGGTTGGGTTACAACAGCATATAAACATCATAATAAGAGCTTTGATACATCTTTGGTAAGGAAAGTAGTTTTTCAAGCATGGGGAGAAGATAATTCATACCATGAGATGTAAGTAAAAATGATATTTTTAAATTAAAAAGAATAATAATTAAATATAAAATTTTTAAATTTTTTAAATGGCTTTCTTTCTTCTATATAAAATAACTACAGGAGTAAAAACAAAATATATAGGAGATATAAGTTAATATTTATACATGCTCAAATAAAATATGAATAGTACTTGAAAAAATCCATATAAATGATTTTTTAGAGTAATATTCTAAAATACATTTTCATTAATTTTTTCTCACATGATCACAAGTATTGTGCATGAAATGAAATAAATACTTCTTATTTTAAAAAGTATACACTGTATTGGCCCAAATATTAGTTAATATTTTCCCCAGTATTAACAGGCAAAAAATTATTCTTGACTTATATTCAAGTGTCATTAAAGTTTTGTTTGATTTTGATAATTGTCTGTTGAGTATAAAAATTAGTGTGTACACATTGTACACACTAATTTTTTATACTCAATTATATAGAAAAAAAGTAATGAAAATTTCACATATTCTTGTAAAAGTTAGAATAACAGTAGAATTATGAAAGATTGTTGGTGAAGACACAATTATAGAGGCTTTAAAAAATGTTCTAACAACAACTTGGCCAGAACAGAGGATAATGTACTGTTCAAAGACATAGAAAATCATAATGGCACTAAAATAAACAGGAGTGATGACAATGAAAAATATCATTTCAATAAACATATATTAATTTTTTAATGTCAATTTATTTAGCATAAGCATTAATTTTATTTATATACAAAACTTAGCAATTTGCTAATTTTTTTGCATGCAAATAAAATTAATAGTAAAAGATTGACTTATAGTCTTTATAGTAATAGGTTTATAGTCTTTATGGTAATAGTCTTAATAGTAAAAGGTTGACATTTTTAAAAAAATAAGGATTTCAAAATTTAGAATTGATTTATATTTGGTCCAATATAGTATTTTAGTATTAAATTCAAGACATTGAAAATTTATTGTTTCACTATAATGATAAAAAATTTTTCTAATAACAAGATATAAGATAAAAATTTCCATTTAATATAAATATTTTTATGAGAATATTTTGCAAAAGAATACAAATTTAGCATTTAAAAAATTATTTTAAATTTTAAAAATTAAAGAAATGTTAATTATTAAATAATAAATTTTGAAAAAATATATTTTAAACATGACTTTTATTTACATAAAATATAAGAACACAAGACAAATATACAATACTGTTAAGAATCAACAGAATCCAATGGTTTAAATTTGGAAAATATTCAATTTTTTGGAATGTGTCAGGCAAACAGAAAGCTTTGGTATTTTAGAACATAGTCCTATAACTTAATTTGGATGAAAAGAAGTTTGATACAATTGAAAAATAAGAATTTGAATAGAATTTGAATATGGAAAAGTTTAGTTGAGGTGTAGAGAATGATTACTTAATTACAGAAGTCATTCATTTATCTTAATCATCCATTAGGAGATTGGTTTTAGTGAAAACTGTAATCATAATAAAAGAGGAAAATTGGTGTTGACTAGCTTCTTTCCAAAAATTATGTTATGCAGTTTTCATGTAAAGTAATATAAACTGTGAATTTTTTGAGAATTATACATTAGTTTATAACATAAACTGTTGTTCTGTATTTCTTACGTATTAATTTATATAAATTCAGTGAAAGACCTGTTCATATTCTCTAGAACTGGAAAATAAAGAAGGCAACTGAAGGAAGAACATCTGAACTTAACTAGTGTATTCTTATGTTTGTAGAGAATTGAATTTATTGAATATAATATTGTCAAGTGAATAGAAATATTAAAAACCTATTGTTTGTAATGATAAGATTTTTTCTAGTAAAAAAAAATCAAAACTTCCATTTAATATGAATTTTTTTTATGAGAATATTTTGCAAAAGAATGGAAAGTTCTATGTAAAAACTGAATTGTTAATCTATTGTTTAAAATTTAATTCAATTCAAATTTGATTGAATTAAATTTTAGCAAGATTTTTCTATCCTTAAGAAACATTAAATTTCTTTGTTAAGTCTTAATTAAGTCTAGTTTAAATTTTATTTCCAATTACATTGTTCTTTCTGTTATCTTTCACTCATGTATATATGTATCAGTGGTGTTCCATGACATTTGATGATAGGGAAGCTGTGTTTCTGTAAGAAGCTGACTTCCTGGGGCAATCAGTTAATTGCACGTCAATGATCGTCTAGGATCCATTCGTATTCATTTATTCGATAAGCCAGATATCACAGTTACATTCTGAATCTCTAGCTACGATATAAGGGCTACAATTAAAAATAAAATAATAAAAACTTACTTGGTGAAATAAAATGTGTGGTGGATATACATACCTGGTACAAAATATTTTTCAATTGTATGAATATATTTTTAAAGAAAATTATAATTAAATATAGCATTGTAAAGAAACGTACATAAAAATAACATAAAATATTCTTCACTTTTTAAATCTTAAAAAATCCACTTAGTCAAATAGCTCTCTACGAGTGGCTAATGGATGGAATCAGAGTAGGTTGCAGTGCGAGCATATACGTGGACTGTTAAATCCCGAGGGTGCCAATACCGATCAATGTCAAATACCTCTTTTGTTGCATCACTAGTATACCTCAAAGGACGCGACAGGGTTGTAAATTTTAAACGTTTCTTGCCATAGCTGTAAAAATCTAAATATGTTAAACTTAATAGATTGTCCATTGTTTGTTTTCTAACTAATTTGTTTTAGAACCAGGAGTGCATGGAAATTTCCAAAAACTTTTTTTCAGTTACTCTCATTGAATTGGAAAAATTTCTGTTTATTACATCTAATATTATGAAGAAATCAGTCCCCACTGTACTTGGCTAGGGATTGGTTTAGTTATATTGTTTAAGTAAAATTCCGGCTCTTTCAGCAGGGTTTTATTTATGTCCCTAATTCCCTAATCGCTTAATTATTTAACTACTTCTTAAGTAGAAATAAGTTGAAACTGATTACTATGTACTTGAATATTTGTAGTCTTGGGAAAGAAGTGGAAAGACAAATTTTTATGACAATGATACATAAATTGTAAATTTAAGGAAAATAGATCTAGAGCTTTTTTGTACCTTGTTCGTCTCATTCATTAAATTTGGTTGTAAATGATGCTGCTAAAGTAACAGTTAATTTTTTAACATTGTACAAGAATTGTACACGTTTTTTTCTACATCCCCTTATAGATGGGGCATACTAAATCGTAATATCACTAGTTTAACATTAAAATCTGTAATACAATATGGAAGAGGGAGAGCAGAATAAATATATCAATTTTAATGGATTTTTTAACTCCTGTCAGCTATACAGAACTATCATAAAAAACATACCAGTAAAACTCCTATCGGTTGGGTTAAGTTATAAATCTACTTGATTCACATAATGGGGTGAGGGTGACCAGATATTTAGCATGTAGGCTGCTAACAGCCCAGAACCGGTCCTGGATAGAATCATTGGAAGTGTTATATGACATTTTGGTGTGTAGCTTTCACCAGTGAGGTTGATGCTCTGTAAAGTGCATCAACCTCACGAATGCATATAATCTGGCTGATTGGAAACTGTCCTGTATTTGACAATACAGCACTTCCATTCTGCTACTGATATTCAAATATACAATAGCAATCTTATTGTTTTTTTTTTTTTCACATGTAGTGTAGAAATTTGTAATAAGATACATAATGCAGTTATAATAAAATATTAATTTTAACTAATTCAAAGTACATTAAAATATGAAAATAATTGCACAATATGTCTTTATATATTAGAAAATACAAGGGAAGCAGTGGAAACACTGCTTCCAGGGATGGCACGCCACTGATATGTATATATATATATATATATAAATGAGTGAAAGATAACAGAAAGAATAATGTAATTATGTATATATATATAACAATGATATACATACATACATATGAGAAATTATTTATTGTGACATAATCACAATGCTGGGCTACAATTTTTAATCATATTTTTAATGTATTTAATTTAAAATATGTGCCCTCCACCTCAACTGATGATGGATGCAGGAACATCTGCAAATACTCCAAAGAAGGAGTGGATTGCACCAGTGCACAACAGAATGAACATACTGACAGATTTGCTGAATGGCTTGTTGGGACTTGTTTGCCACAGCATGTGACATCCAAAGTCGACTGTCGCCACAAACAGGTGCATCTGTGTCCACCCAAACCATTTGCAACAGGGTTGCATAAAGTTAGGATGCACATACATCAACTAACAATTGGGATTCCATTAACTGCTCAATATAGGGCTACACACCTGGCTTGGTATTGTTGTCATTGCGGTCGGACCACTGAATGGCATCAGATACTGTTTATGGGTGAATCCTGCTTCTGTCTGTGGAGGAATGAGGGTAATGGATATGTGTCATAGTATTCCAGGGAATGCTATATGCTAGCCTTTTTCTCCAAGCTTTAATCTGTTTCACACTGGGCATCATAGTTTGGAGAGGCATTATATTTGATCAATCAACAGCCCTGATGCACATTTCCAGTACTCTGACAGTGGACCAGTACATCATATGAATTGTGGGGCCTGTGGTTTGGCTACTGACATGGTGTTTTAGCAAGATAGTGCTCAACCTCGTCATATGTTAAACTCTGACTAGCTTGAACAGAGTAACTCACCAGCGAGACTGCCATCCTTTCCTAAATGGCAGTTTTGCTGGATCTCTCTCATTGAACACCTGTGAGACTCGTTCAATGTGATGTATACCTGGGACCACTGCCACATATTGTAGACAACATGTCCACCACAGTGGATGCAGCTTGACAAGGGAGACTTCAGATAACCATTAATTGCTTCATCGATAGTATGTCTTGCTGTATAGTTGTATAGCAGCCTGTATAGCTGTCCAAGGGGGGTCATATTCATTACTGAATAAACAGTTGTCTTTTGCATTCTTTGTTTGTTCTTTTAATTATTTGCATATCTCTGTCACCTCTGCTTGTCCTGCAATTTGCATGAGGCTATGCACATTTCTTTGTAGTGTTGCAATTTCACTTTTGAGTAGTATATATTAAATTCAAAATTTGAGTAAAAGAAAAATTTGAAGTGTTTTTCTTAAAATATGAAATTTTGATGTAAGATTAAAAATGCATTTTAAACTATATAAATAAATGGAAAAATAAAGACTTAAGATAATTACAGATATCAAACATAATATTTAGATATACAAGGGTGAGTCAAAAAGTAAGTTGCACTCATACCAAAAATAAAAGTATGAAACATATGGGTCAAAAACTTTAATTGTATGAATGTACAATTCAAGTACTACTTTACAATATAATCACCAAGTTTATTTAAACATTTATTGTAGCATGGCACAAATATTCCTTCTTGGTATTTCCTCCCGTTCAACATGTGATAATCATTGTCATGTTGCATTTGTGATGTCTTCATTGGAGTTGTATTGGCAGTTTGGAAGGAATTTTTTTTATGGATTGAACACTAGGAAATCACAAGGTGCAAGATCTGGACTGTAGAGAGGATGTTTCCACACAGTCCATTTGAATTTTTTCAGTAGGGCCTTCATGATGCCTGCTGAATGAGGTGTAGCATTGTCATGCAAAAGTTTCCTCACTGTGCACTCCCTTCAACTGGCATCAAATTTCAGTGGGGTTACCTTTTTACCCATAAGAAATGAGTTTCTACATGAACTTCCAATTTGGATGCTACATCCAAATAACACATCATCTTTCATGACTGAAAACTGATTAACCTCTGCAACCAAGTTGACAAATCTGCTACTCTTTGTTAGCTGAAAGTATTACTAATGTTGCCACCAGGTTTCATCTAAATAACATTTATCAACAAAAAATTCTTACCAATTGTAACTTACTTTTTGACTCTCCCTCATATAGTAATAGATTAAGATATCTGTTTTTGAATAATGTCTTCCAGACAAATATAAACATCTATAAGTCCAATAGTTATATTAAAGCCAAATGATTGCTGGATTAGATCAGGATGTTATATTACTGCTACTATTAATAATTAAATAGATCAAATTACTTAGCATTTAATTATTAATATAGCAGTAATATAACTCAATCTAATCTGGCAATCATTTGGCTTTAATAGCCCTGACTATTGACATTGAGTTTATAATTCTGGACAGTGGCTTATCCAGGATTTTGAGAATATGAGTGATGATCAAGGCAGATTGGGGGACCAAAGCATATGACTGTCATATTTCAGAGAATGTTACAGTAGAGTGTCGTTTATCCAAATCAATTGGGGACTGAGGTTGTTCGGATAACTTATTTTTCGGATAACCAATTATGTACGAAAAAATATATTAATTTATCCCGTATTGAAATTTTTCTTTGTTGTGTATCACTTTGCGTTGAATTTTCGTCGATGTTAAGCCTAACGAAGACTATTGTATCATTAAAAATTATTTTTTTATTTTTACAAACAAAATAAATATATTGAAAAATATAAAAACAATAAAAAATTATACTTCAGAAGTTAATTTAGTATCAAAAACGTAAAATATTTGAGTAGCCGAAGACATAGCCAAAGATTACAGCGCCACAGCACTGGCGAAAATTTAAATTTGTCGACTGGAATTCCTTCGGATAACCGACCTTCGGATAAATGAAGCTCTACTGTATTCAATAAACTTAGAATTACTTATTTACCTAATTGAAGTCATGTGATATACATTATTATATTTATTTTTATTTTAAAGTAACAAAACTGATTGCTTTGGTATCAAGGGAGTACTGTGGTCCCATAAGAATCCTCTGAATACACCCTGTTTTTACAAACACAAGAGTACAACATGTATTTGTTCTTGTGTTTATAGATTTTATATATCTAAAAATTTTACTGTTAAAATTGTGCTATTTTACATATGTCAGTTAGTAGTGAATAATCATCTATGGTTTTGAAATTTATTTAATATTTCAGAATTGTTATTTTATGAATTTTAAATTTATGTTCAATTTTATATTAAAGTTTTTCTAACATTTAAAACTTTTGTTTTCAAAATAGCTTAAAAAAATTATATTTGAAATATTTAAATTTGGTGTAGTTTCTATATAATTTTTCATAGTTCAATCAATAGTGTGACATATCTGTATTTATATTATTGCTTTGTTCATTGGATGGATTTTATAGTTCAAGCATTTAGACTTCTAAATGAAATATAGTTTTAAAACAAAATAGCTAAACAATAAATATAACTGACTTTTTCTAAAAAATTGTCAAGAAATTTATTTTTATTGTCAATAATCAAAAAGTCAAAATTTGTTAAGACTATCTGTCTGAAAACAACTGCACATTACGTGTTACTAATCCGCATAAGTCCCCTGCAACAGGGCTCCCCATCAGTACACCCCTAGATTGCATTGTGCTCTCAGGGATCTCTCATTACGTGTTAATACAGTATAATTAGATTATTTTTAAAAAATTTTATAATCATATTAAAGAGTCATTTAATTAAGTTTTTAATACTTGCTGATATATTTAAATTAACTTAAATTAAATTAGGTAACTTTATAGTAGTAATAATTTTATCATAAATCAGACTTATTAAATTATTAAAGTGTAAATAAAATAAATTAAAATTTAATATTATCATCTATATTTATTTACTTATTTAAAATATGAATTTGAATATATATAATTTAATTTAGACATGAAAGACAAGATTGTTATATGGTGTGTGCTGGTCAATTGCATGCTGAAATTAATGCTGGTGATTCCTCATCAAGGAGTGCTAATCAAGGAATGTATGTTGGTTGTCATATCGATATATCAATGGGTACAATAACATTTACAGCTGATGGGAAACCAACTAAACATAGATTTCAGGTAAAAAAAACATTATTTTGATAAAGTATATTGAATAAAATAAAGATTTATATAAAGTAAAAAAAAATTTAATAATCTTAGTTTGATTTGTTTCTTATTGAATCAACAGTATTAAATCTAATATCAAATATATTTTAATTAGGACATACAGTAAATATAACTTAATAAAGCAGTTTTACAGTGTTAAATATATTTGACATTTCTTAAATAGAATGATTATTATGAAAATTTTTAAATATCAACAAACTTCTATAAACTGTCTTATTTAATTTAAAGAAACTTATAAAGATGAGAATTGTTTTTTGTGCTTTGTAAAGGGACTTTTCAGATCATGATGCTTTTTGATTTAAGTTCAGATTAATACAGAATGGTTAGCATTTTTCTTTTTCAAATATGTCTAATTCATATAATTCACCAATAATTTAAAACAGACAAAAATTCCAGATAGATTTTAGTGTTTTATAATCTCTCCAACCAGTATTAATCTTTTATATATAATTGGGCTGCAATTTGAAAAAAATTGTAGACTTATAAATTTCCACTGTCATTCATCTGTCTGTCCTTCCTTAATTTCAAGAATGATGTTAAATAGATGAAAATCAAGACCACATATGGAAAGCTTAGGGGTAGGAGACCCCAATTAACTAAATACGAACATCTGGTCTAGACTGGAAGTTACGTGAATTCAATTAAAAAATTTTTCCTTGAATGGAGTTACATAGATGACTGGCATGACTGTTGTTATCAGGAAAAGCATGATGTACAGGGGCAAGAAAGACATTGTTAGTTTGAGATTGATAGAATATATTTAAAATTGAATAAATTAAGAATATGATTAGAAATTGCAGCCCAGCATTGTGATGATGTCACAATAAATAAATCCTCATTTAAAATTTTATATTTATATATTTTTAATTTATATTTTTAGTATTATTATTATTTTTTTTTTATATGTATTCTTCATATTCTGTTGATGTGATAAAAATGACTGTATGAAATGAAATAAACTTCATACTTCAGTAATAAAGCTTGAATGCATTTGGTGACACTTCAATTTCTATCAAAATTTAATTTGAAATTAACAAGTTTATTAAATTTTTATTTAATAAGATCTATTCAGAATAACCAAAGTTGTTTTATTGAAATTGACATAAGATACAAGTTCTGAAATACTTTAGAGCATCACAGTTCATTTTTATGAAAAAAGCAAATAATTAAAACTATTTCATTTTAAAATGTAAATATACAAAGAAGCACAAAATTCTAAATTATTCTAAACTACTAGTTCTTAATCGGTGTGCCACAAAATTTTTAAAATTGTTTAAAACAACTTTTTTAATATCAGTACAATTATAATTGAATTCTATTCTATGGAAAATTATAAAATTTATTCCAAAATTGTTATGTTAATACAACAGAGTCCTGCAAACTCAACTTAATGTGGACTGTGAAGGCAACAAATTATTGAAAATGGTGAGTTTTATGGACTCTGGGGTGGGTTGTTCACAACTTATAATACATTACTATAAATTAATGTATTAAAAATCATTTATTACATTCAGAGCAAGAAAAAAGTCTATAGTACAATCTAACATAAAATAATTACTTTGCTACAGAAGATATAAAAATTTACCTATAGATAATGTCTTATTATTATATGCATATTACAAGGTATTATATGTGCTAATTCATATATGTATTAACTGCGTATCAATAGAGTCTATTTTTATTTGTAGTTAAATTTAAATTTTAAAAATATTTGGTATTTAGTGGCTACTTTTTGAGTTGGTAACATTTGCCTCATGGCATTTTTCAGTGGCACTTTGGTAAAAGGGATATATTCTTTGTTAACACATGGAATTGATGCTATTATCAAGTGTTGCCAATGAAGAATGATGACTTATTTGATCTTAGTGTTAAGTTATAGTGGTATAAATAGAATTTTTCTTTTTTTAACAACATGATGAGTTATATGGAGTGTCAAGTTATTGAGAGTTTAGTTTCCAGGAATATATTGATTGGTATCTGTTACAAAACTCCATTCTAAAGATAATCAATTTTTAATGCAATAATTTAGTGCAATATTTTTTCTAGATTTATTTATGAACATTTTTCAAGAAGGCTGTTAGCTTTTATCTGAACTTTATAGAGGGATTTGTGACATAAAAATTAAGAATTCCTGATTTAGAGTTTGTTAGTTTCTTACTCATTTGATTTGCCACAATGCTATGTGTATATTCTCCAATAATTTTAGTGATAGATTGTGTAACTTTTAACATTATAATTGGTTTCTTTACTATTCTTGTTGAAGGCTAATCATATATACAGTTATGATGGAATTAATTCCAAAAAACACATCGTATAGTTGAAAATAAAAATAAATAAAAAAAAATAAGCTATATGCAAGGTTATACTGTATGTAATGTGAGTTTGGCATACTGTTGATTGTGATAGCCCAAATTCATGAGTACTCATCATAACTGTCATACTTAGATATCATCTTAACATTGAGAGTAATAGCCTTCCTCCTCTCCTTTTTATTAGTAGCAGGAGATAGTGGGACATTTTGCAGACATAATGGGTATACTGTAAAACACAAAAAGGTATAACAACATGGTATGTATATGTATATATATATATACATAAAGTCTCAAGAAAGATCTTTAATGCATTAGTAGAGCAGCTTGAATTTAAATTCTAATAATTTTTCCGTGCTTCTGCATTGGCCATCACATATGTGAATTATCATATGACAAAACATCACAAGTCAAGGAGTGTCTGTACTCCACTCTAGATACTTGTCCATTTTTTATCCATCAGAAAGCTTACATATTTCATAATTCTGAAATTATATTCACTTTATTAAAATTGTTTGAAATTTAATTTATTGTTTAATTTATATAAATGAATTAGCAATTAATTTATTATATTATTAATTAGGTGGAACCAGGTACTAAACTTTTCCCTGCTGTGTTTTTTGAAGCCACTAGCAAGGAAATTTTACAGTTTGAATTAGGTAGAACACGTACTAGTTTGCCTTTATCTGCTGCAGTGCTACAAAGTACAGGAAAATTATTGGTTCCACAATGTCCACCAAGATTAAAGGTAATATAATTTTACATATTAGGTATTTTATTTATTTTGATCATCCCTACAGACTGAATATTATTATTTTTTACTTATATTCCACTATATGTTATATTTTATTTATTTTGATCATCCCTACAGACTGAATATTATTATTTTTTACTTATATTCCACTATATGTTATATTTTATTTATTTGAATGTAAGATGAATTAAAATTAAATTACTTAATATAGATGTAGTTTATTTACCAACTCAAGGAAAAAAGGCTATATCTCCAAAAAAATTGAAAATTAGATATGATAACAAGTATACAACTTGATTTTCTATGTTTTTGGAAATAGTCTTTAATCTTGAGCCAGTAGATATGCATAATCTAAATTATAAGTATATGCACATATAAATGCTATTTGTGTGTATTCTTATCTGTACAAGTTTGAATTTAACAATACTTTTTTTATATGTAAAAAAATTTTATGACTATTAATTTCTCCAATAGCATAGAGAATAGTTTTGATTATATATATAAAAACTGCTTGTGTTGAGGTCAGCAGATCTGTACTATACAAAGAAATTTAACTTTTATTAATATATTATATAAAAACTATTAGTAATATATAACTTAAAAAATGATTACTAACCTATTAGATTTTTACAATAGAACATCTTTAGTGAAAATTGACTGCATATATCAATATAACAATTGCAAGGGTTGCAAATTTAGGTCTGTCCCAAGCAAGCTTTCTCTCTAGATATTTCTGAATTATTAAATTTAAAATTAGAATGGTCTTAACATCAAAAGTATTATGAGATGATAAATTTACTTATTTATAATAAAAAGTTTGTTTATTAATTATTTTTCAATATAACTTAAAAATGGTGTAGTAAAATCCAATAATTTAATTATAGTATGAGTTTATATAACAGACATCTTGAAGACTAACTATATGTGAGGAAAGTACAGCAAGAGAATTGTTTTGCTTTCCTGATGCTTAAACAGACATGTTTGAAAAATTTTTGCCAAATATGTTGAATACTTTAATTATAGCTAAGACAAATGCAGAGAATTTGAGAGTATCAAATTTCAGTTCTATTATAAAGCTTGAATTTAAGCGAGTAAACCACTTAAGATAGCATCTAAAGACTTATATTTTCAGTAAGAAAACAGTTTCACTTAGAACACTCATTTTTTTTGTACTGAGAATATATTAATGGTTACATATTTTATTTTTCTACAGCCTTTTTTTTATTTTGAGATTACTTCAATGAATATAGAAAATACTATGCCTAGATTTAAAATTGGTAAAAAAAAATAGTTTACATTTTGAAGCAGTGACCATCTTGTTTTGTCTGCATAAGATAAAAAACATGTTTAATCCAGAAAGTTTGAGTCCTGTACAATTCTGGTTTCGGAATTTTTACTGCATTAAATAAATGTTTAATGCAAGTTTAAACAGTTTTAGAATGATTTGGAAAAGAAAGTTATCTTAACTATCTTAAATAGGATTTTTATAAATCTACATGAGAAATATTTTTTGGACCAAGATGATGTAACACACAGCTCATCTGGTTTATGAGAGTTTAGGTCTTTCTTTATGTCATTTTTTTCTAAATTTTTTCAAATGATTTAATTAAATGAATAATTTATCCATTGAGAAATTTTTTATCAGATTGAAGCTCATGTATTGAATTTTATTAATAGATGACTTGCAAAATTTGTTCAGATTTTGATGATATGTATACATTTAAGACATTGTAATAACTGATTTATATATATGGACTAATTTATAGACAGATGAAATGCTATTTTATGCAAAATCAATGATTCTTAAATCAGAAAATAATTTTTTTTTTTCACTGTGCATTTACTACAAAAATGTGAGAAAATTCATTACATCAGTAGTTCCCAAACTTTTTTGATTCTCGGCACCCTTGCTAAATTCAGATTTTCCCAAGGCGCCCTATGTCAAATTCTAACAAGTACAATTTGCGAAATAGCAAAATAGCCAATATCTTTTTAATTAAAGAGTGAGGACGTTAAGTAAAAAATAAATAAAAACATATTTAAGGTAACAAAAAAATGTAATTGAACAAATTCAATTAATTATAATTAGTGGGATGGATGAGCCTGTTGATCACCGCACATTTTCTCAAACCTTGAAATCAAACTGGACACAGCCACCCATATTTCCTTCTTTACATTGATTTTCATGCAATGCTTAGTTTTTATCACATGCTTAGTTTTTATCACAGTGACAAACTCAGCTTGGCACAAATAAGAAGTCAGAAATGAAATTAAGATTCTCTGAGCTGTACCACTCAGAAGGGATATTCATCTTTTATTGATATCTAAAGTTCAGTTAATTCCATGCTGCTAAATTTTGTTTTCAACATATTGTCACAAGACAACTCAATAAGATTCTCTTCTGCAGCAGTAAATTCGGATGGAGCACTGGCATTAAACGGATCTTGAATCCACGCAAATTTATCAATATTATCATTTTGAAAATATTTCTCAAACCAGGTGATAAGCTGTGATAAATGTTCTTCAAAAATACCTCGAGAGTTCATACCTTTAGAGAAATCGACTCCACTGGAAGTCAAACACTGTTGCAACAAGGGAAAACATCCTTTCCTCTGTCTTCATTTATTTTTCTTTTCCATAGTTTTAATTTTTTTTTAAAAGCTGAAATTTTCTCAATCAACTTTAAAAGGTGCATATTACTTCACTGCAGGGAGAGATTCAGAGCAATCAGCTTTTCAAAAATATCACATAAGTATGCTAGTTATACCAAAATCTCATGCCTGCTTTTTAAACATTTTTTAAAATTTTAATTTTAAATGTGTTAACATTAATTGAATCTTCAGGATACTTAGTATTTTTAATTATAAAATTGAATTAGGTGAAGATAAATTCTCAGAAAATAATATACTGTAAATTTAATAATACAGACTAAATAATTAAAATTATGAAACTTTTTTAAGCTATTTATTTGATACTGGAGACAAGAAATGATTTCATTTCATAGTAATTTTAATAAGTAAATAATTAAATTTTTAAAGTACTAATGAAGATAGATTATAGAATAAGAATTTTTCTAGACACAAAACGTAATCTAGAAGCTCACTGAAATATCCAAGTTTTGTTTATTGATAAATAAATAATATTAGAGTAAAAAAAAAAAAACAGTAATATCTAGGTATTGATGGTTTTTTGTACTTTAATACTATTTATTTATTATCATAATATAATTAAAAGAAAAATTTATATTACTGTAACTTTTTGTGAATGACCTGTATTTAAAAGTTAATTTGGAAGTGCCAGTTGCGTAGTGTGGGTGTCAGCTGACCTGGACGGCAGATGAGGTTTGTTCGAACAGAAGTTCCTGACACATGTGTATGTCATTTTGCAATGCGAAGAATAATGTGCAGTGCATGCCGGTTCTAAATCAGTTACAGTTAGTGACTAGGGAGACTTGGGTAGGAGTAACGTAAGTAATCTAGACGACCTAGCTCTATTGGATATTGGAGGTGTATATGGATATGAATAAATCGTACAAGCAAGAAAAAAAAAAAGGTTGACAGGTTGTGCACGATATCCCGACTGTCTGGATGGTAACACTATTCCATGCTCATTACAATCGGTCCGAATCATAGGTTTGATGAAAATATGAAGTGAAATGGTTCAAATTTTTACAAGATATTATTATTATTTATTGTGAAATTTTGCCACCCCTACGCCACTGGGAAGTGCTTGCAGATTATGCAATGTTATGAGTTACCTATCAGTTTTAATTTACAGTTTATTAAAAACCTCAAACAATTTTTCTTTTGTTTAAATTTACTACAACTGTCTTTATTAAAATTTGAAAAATCTTTTTATACCTCAGACATATTCATCTCCCATTGTTTTTTTTTTCCTGAAAACTTACAAAAGCTTTTATAGATATACTTTATCTTTAGTTTTCTTTCATTTATTTTCTGCATAGAAATTCACACTTTAATCAATGTTGTTAAACAATCCTACTTAGTTTATGTCAGATAGAATAACTTTTAATCCAGTAAAACCATTATTTGCTAAAATATAGGTATTTAAACTTGTAATTTAATAGCTGATAAGATTATTATTATATTTGTGGATTGGGTCCTATTTAGTAAATACTGGTGCTAGTACTATTCCAGATCAATACCAAAGCATTTATTATTGTTATTATTATTATTATTATTATTATTCATTAATATTATTTGATAATGAAACAGAAACAAAGTGAAATAATAAGATATTGCTTAGCAGCTATTTGTATTTTTGACACTTGTGCAGTTTAGAAGGTTCTATTCAAAATATTCTATTCTATAATTGCATCTAAAATTAATTACTAACAGAAGTGAAAAAGAAAAAAAAAAACGTTTTTAATATTTAAGATATACTTGATAATAGGTTTTACCAAATAGGTTTTAAACAGCCTGTTTGGAGGTACAGGTATATGCTGGTGCAGTTTATGCAAAATCTTTATTTCAAATCAGCAATTTTTTCAGACTATATTTTTGGGGACTATATGCACTAAATTATGGTAGTTATAATCTATATAATCTATGTTACTTACTAACATATATTAATAAAATAAGATGATAAGATGAATCTATCTTATTATTTTTTTTACATTTATATTTATTTATAGGTTCAATGTTTACAACCTCATCAATGGGCAAGAGTTCCAAATCAATATCTTAAGCCTCATGCATTGAAATTATCAGAAGTTAGAGGATGGAGCATGTTATGTGAAGATCCTGTTTCTATGTTAGCTGTTCACATTCCAGAAGAAGATCGTTGTATAGATGTATTAGAACTGATTGAACATGAAAAGCTACTCAGGTTAGAAAAGAAAATCATTTGTAAACAGCTAAATCTGATATTACTATAATTAAAATTTAAAATTTCAAACTTGAGTTTAAAAAGCTATAAAATATTTGAAAAATATAAGAAATGATTGTCACATGATAATTAACAATCAAAATAATTATTGTTGACTGTGATAGATTTGAATTGATGTTTTTAGTATATCTGTTTTGCTATCTCTCAAATACAGTTATTTATTTTATTATCTGATAAATTAAATAAAGTATACTGTGTTTTATAATGGCATTAAAATGAACATATTAGGCACTCCAATTACACATGAACACCCAAATGCAGTTGAATTAACTTTCAGAGTTCAACTGTGATAATATGAAATATGGACAACCAGATTTTTTAAGTGTAATGCAAAAATTAGAAGAAAGTTAAATTAAAATAATCATCACAAAACATATATATTGTATATTTAATATGGAACAGAGTTCATGACATCCTTATTTTGATTATAAAGTTGATAAGAAATGGAACTTTTTAAGAAAGAGTTGCTCATTCTGATTTTCATTTTAACAAATTTATAGAAAAGCAAAATAATATAAATAGATTGCATTTTATTCATTTTTTTTAATTAAAAAAGAAAAAATAGAAATCAGTAAAAACCAATAGCAATTTTTGTTGAAGTTTACTGGTATAAAAAAAATTTTCCATCAATTTTTAATGTTATACAATCTAGTATAGACTAAATGCCTGGAAAGCTTGGGATTAAAAGAGATCAGGATATCTGGATTTTTTGGTTTTCTGGACACAACTTTAAATATATACTTAAAATATAAAATGAACAAATCAAAAGTAAAGAATGAAACTATTTTAATGCATCATATGCTAGCAATTGCACTGGAATTGGTATCATGTGACATCTATGTCCTGGAAAACAAAACAAAAAAAAGCAGCCACACAGTTGACTACAACTATATCCATCAAATTCAAATCTAGTCAGTTTCAAAAATATCTGGTTTGTGGCAATTCCAGATTTCTACAAGTCAGATATTTAGTCTGGTACAATATAAGGAAATTCAATAGCAAATTTTTATTGGCATGGCATTAAAAAATGGATTGACTTATGACTAATTTTTGAAAATATTATTTACATTTTGATTTGAGCTGCTGAAGCTGACATGAAATTAAGGAAAATTAGTCTTCTTGAATTTTGTCTTAGTTTGCTCTTTAGACAATCATAATAACATATTCCAGATTTTGACTTGTATGCCAGACAGTTAAGTAAGATTAATAACCAATGATTGCCTTAAATATTGGGCTATAATTTGGCTAATTAAATGATTAATATAAAGTAATTTGTCACAAGAGGTAGACATTAGGCGCCATCTCTTAACTAAATTAATAATGTGACAAATTACTTTATATTAATCATTTAATTAGCCAGATTATAGCCCGATATTTAAGGCAATCATTGGTTATGTCTGTATATGCATTGGGCTTTGTGTTGTTTATTATTTATAAGAAAGATTAATTTAAAAAATTAAATATTAAAAAATAAATCAGATTGAGCATTAACTGTGTAAACTCAATTCTGTTTTCTAAATTTATAAATATATAAATAACTTTTAATATAATTTGTTTTATTTATAATTGAAAAAAACTTTTATAAATTATATCAATTTTTTTATTTCAGAAACTTACGATTACATAATTTTAAGATAAATTTAAGGAATTTTTTTATCATTTTTCTGTAAGAATACAGTAGAGCGTCGTTTATCCGAAGGTTGGTTATCCGAAGGAATTCCAGTCGACAAATTAAAATTTTCACCAGTGCTGTGGCGCTGTAATCTTTGGCTATGTCTTTGGCTACTCAAATATTTTACGTTTTTGATACTAAATTAACTTCTGAAGTATAATTTTTTATTGTTTTTATATATTTTCAATATATTTATTTTGTTTGTACAAAATAAAAAAATAATTTTTAACAATACAATAGTCTTTGTTAGGCTTAACATCGATGAAAATTCAACGTGAAGTGACATGCAACGGAGAAAAATTTCAACACGGGATAAATTAATATATTTTTTCGTACATAATTGGTTATCCGAAAAATAAGTTATCTGAACAACCTCAGTCCCCAATTGATTTGGATAAATGACGCTCTACTGTATTTATATTGTATTTGATATTACTGTTACACAACATATTAAACATTTTTGAATATTTTAACTTTGTTTTTATAAATATTTTTGTAAGATATTTAACTGTATCTAAAAATGATAGATGTATTTATAAAATAAATTTAAAAAATTAAAGTGGAACTTTGTTTTATGACTGATAAAAATATTTTATTATGATTTATTAAATGCCATATTTATTTTGTTAGCCATCTTGGTATGGCTTTACTTAGTTCAAACTGTATTTTCAGAAATATAACTTCCATTTATGACACTGAATCTATAGGAAATTAAAATTTAATTTATAATGACTCATTTAATGAGCTTTCTAGGAACCATTTATATTTAAAAGCAATGAGCTACTATAATTTAATTAAATATTTTATACAAAGCATAATTAAATTTTAAAAGAATATTTTTATTGTATGGAATTTTAATTATACATTAAGAACTGAAATGGCTTATATAATATTATTTCTATTCTAATTACATAAATAGTAATTTATATGATAAGTGAATTTTATATTTATTTAATTTTTTTGTTTTTTAGCTTTCATGCCCATACATTGGCTTTGTATGGAGCCCTTTGTTTTCAAGGCAATCATCATGCAGCACATATTATATGTTCTCATATTGATGAAAAACAATTACGATATGCTATTCAATCAGATTATATGTCTGGACCATTGAGAATAGCATTTACAGATTTACTTGTAGCACTTCATCTAGAATTTCATGCTAGAGCAAGGTATTTAAGAAACATGAATCCATGGGCATCCACAAAGGGGGGCAAATAAGGCATTTTCCTTTCTGAGACTGAGTAAAATATTTCATAAATTACAGTGATACCCCAAACTTACGTGATAGGTGGGACTGAGCGATAACTGTGTAAGTCGAATTCGCGTAAGTCGGGGTATAATTTTGCAATTATTGTAAAATCCAAGTCGGATGTATGTAAGCTAATAAATGTTCTCGTTAATCTTATCTCGTCTTTTGATTTATTCACGGTTACAAGAAATCACCATATGGTCTCTCAAGTCTCTGTAGATATAACAAACACAAAATAAATTGTAACTAGGCATCGATTCCGCGCGACACATCCGAACATGTAAGCTGAACAATAGTATGGGGGGAGTGAGTAATCAAGAGCTACGTGCTGCTCAAACAAAAGACGAATCCACGAGATTTGAAAATCACGTAACTCCAGGTTTGCATAAGTTGGGGTAGTGTAAGTCGAGGTATTACTGTATAATTGTAAAATTGTCTGAGATATATAACCTTACACCCTCAACCATGGGATGCTTTGATGCAGTCCATAATCTACTTGTGGGAAAAACCCAAAAAATTAAATAATTGAAAAATTTATTGACAATTATTTGTCTCCAAGCTTTAACTTCAAATTTTCTGTGGATGCCCATGCAAGAATCAAATTAATATATTATTATTATGAAAGTTTATTTTATTATTTTAATTTTATTTTAATTATATCTTATAAGTAAAATAAATGAACAAACTGTTTTTAATTTTAAATTAACAATTTAGTTAATTTATTTAATTATAAAGTTTGCTTGTTACATAATTTTTTTATATACCGTATTTTGATGAGTATAAGTCGCACTTTTTTTTACTACTTTTTGGGGCTCAAAATCATGGTGCATTTTATATTCAACAGGTAACTATTTTTACAGTGAAATTATCTACAGTAGTGGTCCACTCTAGGGACCAACCTGTGCAGTGGTTCGTTAAGCAGCAGATGGTCCCTCAACTGAATGGCTAGAGTACTTAGTTTATCAGAGTAGCGACACACGAGTCATCGCCGCCGTGTTCTGTCAACTGTCATCATGTGACCTCTGAGTTTACATTAAGAAATGATGATTATTTCAGTTTAATAAAGGTATCGATTCATCCATCCGTCATATTCTTGAATAAAAAAAATGAATAAAATGCATCTTTAGACAATCCTACTAAAAAAGTTTTTTTCTAAATGTTTTGACTCAAAATAGGGGTGTGTCTTATACTTGACAGCGACTTATACTCATCAAAATACGGTACTAAGAATATTGAATTTTTTCAATATTCATAGTATTTTTAGAGGCTAAAAATTTATTATATAAATTGTTTAAGTGTTTGACTATTTTGGAATAATTTTGAATATGAATATGAGATCAAAAAATCCAAAATTTAATAGTGTACATTTTTTCCTTCCTTTTTTTTTTGTATATAAATTTTGTTTTTAATTTTAAAGGAGTTTAACACAAAATGAATTTATTGTGCCAATGGGTCCTGAATTAAGAACAATGTATGAAGATCCAGCAAGTATTCATCAAATATCAACTCTACAAAGTTCTTCAATTCGTCCACAGATGACTATGACACCAACATCGTAAATAAAGATTTGATAATCATAAAATACTATAATGATATAATTTGAATCTCTTAGATAATTATTTAAATATTTAATATTTTTATTTAGGGAAAAAATTGGTTCTTTAAAAACTCTAAGTACTCCATATTTTCCTGTGGATATTTTGAAACAATTTATTATGGAAGCATTAGATGATGCTGTTAGGAAAGGAAATAGACCAAATAGAGATCCAATTGGTGGAAGCAATGAAAATTTATTTGTGTAAGTAAAAGTATAAAGTTAGTTAATTTTTTCACAATTGCAAAATGTATACTTAGTCAGTTCTGTACATTAAGTTTAACCAACTGAATTGATGCTATTTGCTGCATGTGTTCTTTTATCTAAATGTAACATATGTCTATATAAATCATAATCTTTAGTTTTGTAATTTTTGTAGAATTTNAAATTGGAGGAACTGACACACTGTTGGTTGCTTGTTTCCAACTCATACATATCCCTTTTTCAAAAATAGGACATTCTTGCTGAAAAAAGCCTTTGTGTCCTTGAGTTTCAGGCCTTTTAAAGGTTCCACATCACGAATTAAACATTCTGATTGGTCCTGGTCACTCTCTTTTCTTTTTTCAATTGGACCCTAGTTTGTTTCCAGAACCATTCAGGACTGAATTTAGAGATGTTTATTAAATTGTTGTGATTTTCATCCATTACTCAGAGTTAAGAATTTCTACCCCAGTTATAAATATTGCTGGCTGCACTCACATGACATTTGGTTTCATTAAACATTTTATTACATCATTTTTGTGATTATCAGAGAAAAGGTTAAATTCCTGTTTAATTAAATCTTTCACAAAACAACTCTTTTCTGATGTTTTATATAAACATCAGAAGAACATTTTATATACAAAAACATTTTTATATAACAAAATATATTTTGAGGACGTTTTACAAAATTAACAGTTAGAAAAATGTTTGCTATAACAAAAATGTATTTGTGACTGCTTGAATAAATATAATTAAAAGCTTAGTCTTTTGCTAGTTTTGATTTTATTAATTATATAAAAATTTTGAATGATGCTTTGTTTATGATGTTTTATCATGGACTCAATTTTGTCTAGCATAACATGGTTGACACACCCCTATTTAAGGAAGAGGTGTGTGAGATGTTAAGATAGTTTGTATGGATCATGGACAAAGAATTAATGCACACTTGTAAACAAAATACAAGAAGTTTATTAGAGACTAAAACATGTATAAAGAAAAAAACCTCACTAGACCCAAGATATCAGCAAGTGGGGATTTACCAAACAATAATACTCACCAACAAACTCAGTTGGGACTAGGGTAAAAAGAATGCAAATAACAAACTTTAAACTGACAATACACAGTCATAATATTAGTATATTTAAGCTTATTCTAAGTATTAATAATAAACTAAAATTAAGAAGTATGGCTAAAACTAAATTTATTATAAAAATCAACCAGTACCAAGGATGGCAACATGAACAATACTATTAGATGGTATTGTTCACTGGACAACTATGCCCTCTTGTTGGATTTCAAAAAGAAGGGCACTCTAATAGAGAATACCAAGCAGAAAGGTAACATTATATGTTATGATTTCAATTATCTGTCCTTGAAGACAATCCTTCATTTTCATTCTCCATGTGTCTGTTCAATCTGAAGATCATGACACCACATGCTTACTTTTGACAACCTCCTTTGCTAGCCCACAGAATTTTTCTCTTACAAAGAGAGGGAACTCCCATCTGACCTGACTCATCTCAGCCAAAAGTAAAGTCTCTCATCAAACATCATTACTACACCTGATATGTTTAAAGCTATACACCAACCAAAGACGAATATTATCGGGTTAGAAACGGCTATAATACTAATAATTTAAAAGACAATTTGGCATTAGAGTTAGGCGTTAGGTGCCATCTCTTGATAAATATAATAATTATAATTTAATTAAATAATTTAAATAATAATTTTAGAATTACTGGAGGAAAAGAATTGGCTTGAAGTGGGACTTGAACCCGCAACTCCTGCTTACCATGCAGAGTGGCGCTGAATGCATCCCCAGCTGGCATTGTAATAACCATTGATGGTTATATCATTAGTTTATATATGCTGGAAGAGGAGATCTGACCAAAGGTCCAGGTAGCATAATTGGCAACACATCTGCATGGTAAGCAGGAGTTGCAGGTTCAAGTCCTGCTTCTGGCCGATTCTTTTCTTCCAGTAATTCTAAAATTATTATTTAAATTATTTAATTAAATTATAATTATTAAATTTATTAAGAGATGACACCTAACGCCTAACTCTAATGCCAAATTGTCTTTTAAATTATTATATTATAGCCGTTTCTAGCCCAATAATATTCAGCTTTGGTTGGTGTAAAGTCTCTCCTCAATTGTTCAGTAGTTAAAGCAGAGTAAAGTATCCTTGTTTCAGTTGTGTTTCTGGGGATTACTTCCAAACCTCACCCAATCAGTTTTTCACAATTGAACAGGAAAAGTGGAGCAATCCTAGATTTGCAGTTATACAAAGAAACATGTATGGACAAGCTTTCCCAAGATCAGAAATATAGGTGTAGACAAAACAGACAAAACAGTTTACAAAAAAAAAAAAAATATAAGGCGTAATGCCACAGGTGTCATTCAGGATGGTGAGAAGGTGTGAACAACGCATGTGGGTGGTGGCATCAGACACCAAGGGAAGAACTCCATTTACAATTAATATCCATTTATTAGAATACAAAAAGACATCTTATAAAGGTTTGGGAGATCTTTTCTTAAAACCAGTTTGATGGGATAAACAGTAAGTCCTGACAACATTAATGTTCTTTGGGATATGATGTTTGATAATACAAGGTTCCTGGGGCTGATTGCGTTTTCTTATTAATGGATTGGTGTCCTTAAAGGATAGTGCACTCATAAAAAAAAATTGGAGGAACTGACACACTGTTGGTTGCTTGTTTCCAACTCATACATATCCCTTTTTCAAAAATAGGACATTCTTGCTGAAAAAAGCCTTTGTGTCCTTGAGTTTCAGGCCTTTTAAAGGTTCCACATCACGAATTAAACATTCTGATTGGTCCTGGTCACTCTCTTTTCTTTTTTCAATTGGACCCTAGTTTGTTTCCAGAACCATTCAGGACTGAATTTAGAGATGTTTATTAAATTGTTGTGATTTTCATCCATTACTCAGAGTTAAGAATTTCTACCCCAGTTATAAATATTGCTGGCTGCACTCACATGACATTTGGTTTCATTAAACATTTTATTACATCATTTTTGTGATTATCAGAGAAAAGGTTAAATTCCTGTTTAATTAAATCTTTCACAAAACAACTCTTTTCTGATGTTTTATATAAACATCAGAAGAACATTTTATATACAAAAACATTTTTATATAAAACAATTTTTTTTAAACAAATTTTGGTTGAGATTTTGGACCTCAGCCAAGACCTCATACTTATAGTAGGGCATTATCTTTAGTTAAATGGTATATAAGATCTATTACCATACTAATGGTTAAATGTAATAAAGGCACTCACAAACATGAAGTGCAGTTAAAATCCTCAACAGACCATGCATACAAATGTTTTCATCCATTTAAAAATTGACATTATCAGATAAACTATATTGAATGCAAAGACAAACAACACTCATTAAATAGAACAGAATTCAAATTAGAAAACTTTTAGAATAGAATTTAATTCAAAAAGTTTCTAGTAGTAGAAGTGATCACACTCTCCATGCTGTAGATAAGGAATCAGTCTCCTTATAATTGATCACTTTTTGACTCTTAACTGTATTATAGATTTTCATACATTCTAGATAGTTAAAACATGTCAGGTTTGATGCAAGATGCAAATTATTTCATTGATGCAATAATTTTCTTGCATGATCAAAATTTTTCATATCCTGGTGCAAAATATGAAAGTGTTTTACATTGCATGTATGGCGCTTCTGCTACTGAAAATTTTTTGTTCTATTTATAGGTAACAAAATATAATATTCAATATATGCAAAGAAAACATACTGTGAATGTTAGGAATATGAAATTTACTAGAATTTGAAAAAATTATCTTACTGCTATTCCAGCTATTATTGAATATAACGTACAGAAAGTATGGTGATTAGTCAAAATTTTGATATTTTCTTTTTTTGCATTTATCAACATTTTGATATGCCAGGAGCTCAGAAATATAAGAAAAACCTTTACAAAATTGTGTGTATGTAGTTAATGTCAAGAACACAGAAATATTCTCTAACACATGGAAATTGTATCTACAACATAAAAATACATGGCAAATGATAAGCACAATGTATGTATTGGAAAGGTACTGCAACAATTTGCTTAACTTATAATGGAACTTCTTCATTTTTTGTTATTGCTGTATTGTGTTTTAAATTTTTTGGAAAGCTACATTATAGCATTTAAACTTTAATGTCTTAAGTGGTTCTAACCTTTGATGCTTTTTGAACTATCAGAATTTTATAGATGTTTTTAAATCTAGTTTTTTTTGCACTGACTCTGAAGATGAACTGTTTAGCTTGAAAGTGTGTAATGCATTTTGATTTTTCTGTGCTCCTAAAGAAAGCAGCATGGAAATGATTGTGACTTCTTTTATCTAACATCAAATAAAACCTTATATTGGAGATTAAGATTAAATTAATTATTGCTATAAGTTAAATAAATCTATTTAAGAATAGTTTAAATAATATATGTGTATTATATAATATATAGTATAATATGTAGAATAAGTAAATCTTTGTGTTTTCAAAAGTAAATAAATAAGGAAAAGATGAAATAATTTTATTTTTTAATTGTTTTTATTTCAGTCCACTTTTGAAACTAATTGATAAATTATTATTGATTGGCTTACTGGAGGATTCTGATTTAGAATGGCTATTAATATTAATAGATCCTGAAACATTTGACCCAAATTATGATCCAGGTTTGTATTTTTTATATATATGTAAATTATATTTTTTATGAAATGAAACTATATACAGGGCAGTATCAAGATATAAATATTTATAAATGCAAATAACATTCTGCTTGAACTTTTAACAGATAAAGACGTATACTGACATTTGGTTTCATTAAACATTTTATTACATCATTTNTAACATTCTGCTTGAACTTTTAACAGATAAAGACGTATACAGATTTTAACTATTCCAAAATATTGCAGAAATTCCTAAAGAAATTGCAAAATCAAATTTAGTAAATTCAAATATTTGTTTATTTTTATACAAGAAAAATGAATAAATATTAAAAATAGTTATTTATTTATTTATAAATATATTTTGTGAAGTATGAATAAAAATTTTATATAGGAAATTAATATGAAATAAAATAGTCTTTTAATATTACTTTACAGTAAAAGTCCAAAAACCTGGACTGCTCAGAGATTATGATGGTTCAATTTCTGGATTTTTTGGATTCTCAGGACAACTTTAAGATTCAAATTTAAGGAGTAATTTAGAAAAATAATAATTAATCATGATAATATTTTTAATATGAAATATTATAGTACAAATTGTTCTTGAAGTCATTCAAAAAGAACAGTGCTCTGTTAAATAAAAATTTATGGAGCAAATATGATGACTTGTTATAAATGAGAAAATATTGGCATACACATTTATTATTCTTTGTTTTAGAAAATTACAGAATAACCATAATAAATGCAATTAATTACTATGATACTTTGTTTATTCTGACTTTGCTGAATAAAGAATTTACCACAGTATACAGTAGTACCTCAGGATACAAAATTAATCTGTTCCGAAACTGAGATCGTATCATGAAAATGTGGTAAGGTGAATCATTTTTCCCTATATGATTACATGTAAAATCAAATAATCCATTCCAACATGAAAAACACACTCAAATTAAAGCTAAGTAGTACATTGAAAAAAAAACTTTAGTAAGGAAAACAGTGAAAAATGCATTTTGTAGTTGTAAATGTATAAATAACCATAATAGAATAATAATTGATTAAAAAAAAATGTAGTTTTATTTGCACTTTACCTTTGAGGATAGACAACGGTGGAGGTGTAAACTGGTGACGGAGGAGAGGGAGAAAGGATATGATACTAAAACTTAACTTACATAACATAATGTAACAATAACTTAAAAATAACACTAATTTTTTAATCTTTTCTAAGTTATTGTTGGCCCACCAGTGGCCGAGTGGTCTCTGTTGCCGCTCATAGCGGTAGTGACTGGACCCTAAACACTGGGAAGTTCGGTCGTGGGTTCGTGCCGCGATCGGACAGGCTGGCTGCTTGGAGTTTTCCGGGTTTTCTCCTTGCCAATAACGACTAAATAGGAGGCCAGTTCCCCATAAAAGTCCTCCCGGANTCACTTCCACCAGCACTTTCACTGGATAGAGGTCGCTTGGTAAAATATCTATCCATAGAGGTTTGGCTTTGCCTACTTTTTAAAATGTTTCTAAAATGACTTAGGCAAATGTCATTACTCTGAGCAGCAATACAGCCAGTGTGAATCTTTTTGGGATGTTTTTTTTCAATAAAATCAGTCACTTTCTGATAATATCTCAAGATTTCCTTTATCGAGCGAGGTCCTTCCACAATGAAGCAAACATGTGGACTGAGACCAATAAACAGAAGTGGAAAAAAAATGGCGCTGCAAACTAATGTAATGTTGTATGGTGAGTTTTTGTTCGTACCATGGAGCAAAAATATGTTTGAATTTCATGTCATATCCTGAAAATTTCATATGCTGGAGCATTTGTATCCTGAGGTACTACTGTATTGTTATTGTAGCTGAGCTTCCTGAATACAGTAGAACCTCGATTATCCGACCCCCGATTAACCAACACCTCAGTTAACCGACCGTTCTAGTCGGCAAATTTCAAATGTCCGCTAGTGATGTGGCGCTACAATATTTGGCTATGTCTTGGCTACTTTAATATTATTTTTATGTGTTTTAGCTGGCAATACTCATTCGACCATGAAAGGGAGCCAGTATTTAAACGAGGCTTAATTTTCTAATTTTTAACAATACAATAGCGACGATTATTATTTTAAAAAATTTTTGTTAGGCTTAACATTGATGAAAATTCAACGCAAAGTAGGTTAATAGCGATATACTAATATACTAATTACATGGGATATACTAATATACTATACTAATAATGGATTTTTTCATACTTTTCGGTTACCTGACTTTTCAATTATCTGACCAACCCCAGTCCCCAATTGAGTCGGATAATCAAGGCTCTACTGTATATGCAAAGAAAACATACTCTGAAATTTACAAAAGTCTGTATTCTCAGATTGTCTGGATTTTTATTATAATTTAATTTAAAATACAAATTAAAATGATGTATATGTGATAAAAGAAACAAAATTATCATCAGTATAATACTGGTTTATTTTCAGTCAGAACAAGCCAGTATGCCTTACCAGTAGATAGCATAAAAAGTATTGATAGCTGGAATATACTACCAATAGTTGCTTAGTAAAAAAATTATTTATGTTTAGCCACCATATATGCATAGATAAGCCTATTCAGTTCTTGTTAGAAATAAATTTCTTTTTTTTATAGCAAAAGGATGTTTTTGGCCTAACTTAATTTAACATCAGCTTATAGATACAAAAGTTTCAACAGTGGACCATCCATCATCAACATATTACAAATTAAATAACACTATTTAGATTATAAATTGACATACATAGATCAAAGAATAATAGTTACATTTAACAAAAAAGTCAGAGGGTCTCACCAGCATAGAAGGCACTCTGTAAACTTTCATAAACTTATTTGTATTTTTCTTATTATTTTTTTATTTTTATTTAGTTTATTTTATTTGCTTATTGTTATGCCTTCTGCATCATGCATGTACCAGGCTCCATGTGCATAATGTTTTTTGTTTGTTCTAATTTAAATATATTATATTCTGTTTGATTTTAGAAACCTGAAGATAATTGTTTGATGATCATTAGATTTAATGTAAAAACATTTGTTTTATATATTAAATTTCTTGTTTATTGCTGGTTTTTGGTGATTTGAGTGTTTGTCTTAATAACACTTTTAAATACAACTAATGAAATAAAAGTAGAAACAAAGTTCATTGTAATTATAACTTAAATTTTTGTTTTCAGAAAATGAATCACAAGTGAAAGGTTTAATGCAAATGAATTTGCCTGAAGGTGCAAAATTACAAATGTGTTATCTTCTTCATCACTTGTGTGATCTACAATTAAGACATAGAGTGGAAGCTCTATGTTCATACTGCGATGATTATGTAGGAGAAATACAAACTGTAAGTTCATTCTTCATTATTAATAATAATATATAAGAAAGTGTTTTAGACAGATAGCAATAAAATTGAATATAAAAACAATTAAATAGGAAAGTATATTTTTATTTTATAAACAATTCATTTATAAAATTAAATTAATTTTGTTATAGTTTGTTTTAGTTTATAGTTCTTTATAGTGTATATTCATATCTGTGAAATTAAAATGAGAGATCAGAAAAGTGAAGAAAATTGTTTTTACTGTGGAAGTTGCAGATATTTTATTTATATTTGCCTGTCATATATGAAATACTACTGCAAAATCAAACTTGTAAAGTTCACTTACTTATTTTACTATATTTGTATAGAAAATAGTTGTTTCCATTTATATTTTTCTTTACTCTTTCTGTGCTGTGAGCACTGGAGCAACAGGTTGTGAGAACAGCTTGTTGCTCCATTATGCCACTTCCCAAAAAATTTCTGTGGGTTTTTAAAAACCTATCCATAATGACTGCTTATAATAGGCAGATAAAAGTGATATTATATACCTAATATGTTGGCATAGCTTTACACAATGAATAACCTTTGGAAAATATATATTTTGCTTTTCCTGTTATTGTATTCACAATTTTTAAACATTGCATTCAAGAGCATTTTGTTTCAAACAAATTGTCAAAAAAAAAGTTTGCGATATGTTTGTTTTTGAGACCAAATGGTTAAAAGCATTCTCTGTTTTTACGAGTTTGACATCTGTTCATGTAAAACTATCAATGTTCTTTTTATTTTATGTTATCTACTATTGATATGTTTTGCTTTTTGATTAACAAGAAATGCTATTGAATGTCTTCCTTTAATTTTGATGATTTTTATACAGTAGATGATGTAGAGCAGTATTTTTCAACCTGTGGATCGCGACCCCCAGGTGGGTCACAAAGCCATACACGGGAGGTTGCGGGTAAAAGAAAAAGACAAGTGTTTGTAGGTCCTACACTACAATAAAAAAACTACAATTTCAGTGAGAAGGCTGTGCTTGTTTATTTTACAGTACAATTAGTTTTTTGATCGATATTTAAATCTCAACAGAAAGAAAATTAAATTCGTAGTTTTTAAAATCATTGACATAGTTTTAATATGGCCGTGGGGGGTCGTCAGAATTTTTTAACTTGTAAAGGGGTCGTGTATTCAAGAAGGTTGAAAAACACTGTTGTAGAGCATCAAAAATTGAAAGATGCATTTTTTTATTGAATGAAATCTTTTTAGGGATGTTGTCATTTGTGCAGGAACTATTTCATATCTTATTTTTTGTTGAATCTTTTAGATATTTTAGATATCTTTTGAAAATAATATGTACAAAACTAGTATGTTTGTATGTATATAAATTAAAAATTCCACAAAAATATTAGTAAATCAAAAATTTACATTTATCTAAATACTAGCAAATAAGATACAAATTAATGTTTACGATATTACAAATAACAAGTAAAATGTCAAAAATTAAATTTTAAATATGATAATAATAATAACACAAACAATACTGCCAGTTTAATTTGGATTATAATATGGTTAATTAATTATAAAGATATTCAATATTATGTAATATGAACTAATGGTAGGCAGTTAAGTTGTTATCTTTTATTAAATTTAAAAATTAGAAATAAAAATCTAATTTAGAATATTCTGGAAGCAAAGATTGATCCAGAGTGTATTCAAATCTGCAATTCCTGCTTATTGTGCAGATGCATTTTATTATAACATATCAGACTTGTTATGTATATAATTATAATATGATATATTTAAAATAAAAACATTCAGCTTGCTCTGAAATTGTATAATTTTAATACATCTTTTAATACAAAAATTATTGAATTGAAACTAAATCATATAATATGCTGCAAAATAAAAGAAAACAGAATGAAATGTTTTAAATAAAATTCTGTTTTATAACCAAACGAATGATTTTTTTCTGTAATCCAATACTTAAAATTGCAGAATAAAAGCAAAACATGAGCTAATGGAAGTTTATTTCATCTTAGGATATCTCTCTGATTTCTCATGAGATGATTAAGAAAACAATTCAAGAATATGTAATTAATAAATGATCAGTGTAACTTATCTATGATGCTGAAGGTAGAGATAATATATATAAAAAATTATTCTGAATACATAGTAAATTAAGAGAATACAGGGATAATGAGAACTGTTACTATAATCTATAGAAAATATGTAAGCATACAAAAGAGATACATGGATTTGCAGGAATTTGGAGTGGATAAGGAGAGAAGTAGAAGGTTATAAGAAAAATTATTATTATTGCCTTACTGTCTTTATTTAATTTCTTATTATATGTTTTTAGCATAATTTTTTTGTAATTTATATCATAACTATTTTACTGTTTTTACAAATATAAGAATATACACTGTATTTATCTGATTCCAATGTTTTTCTTATAACTTCTTATTATATGTTTGTCAATGTGTACATTAATTATTAACAGGACAATTATACTGGTGTTAAGATTTTTACACAAGAATTGAGGAAAAAGTTCTTGTGTAAAAATCTTAACACCAGTATAATTGTTCTGTTAATAATTAATGTACACATTGACAAACATATAATAAGAAGTTATAAGAAAAACATTGGAATCAGATAAATACAGTGTATATTCTTATATTTGTAAAAACAGTAAAATAGTTATGATATAAATTACAAAAAAATTATGCTACATGACATTGACAGAATTGAGCTAGATCAATTAATACATTTATTGCAGACAATATTAATATTAAACTAATTAAAGTGACAATGAAAGTTTGATATATATTTAGGCTAATTTTTTACATTTTTAATATTTTTTGTTAGTCTTCACATGTTTTTAAGAAATATTAAAAATATCTAATTTAAATAATTTTCAAGGATACATATTCTATGTTAAGCACACATTTGTAATCTTCAAAGGTAACATAGGCAATAAATTCTGTGAAAAATATAAATTATGGTTGTACATTTACATACATGCACATACAAAATTTGAAATAAAGCTTCATGATTTTATAAAATTAAATGAAATTAGATATTTTAATGAAGCTAAAGAATAATTTTTTATTTAAAGGATCAATTAAGAAGATATATTGAGGTTAAGCAGTCTGATTTACCATCTGCTGTGGCAGCTAAAAAAACAAGAGAATTTCGTTGTGCTCCAAAAGAACAAGTAAATCTTCTCATTTATTTATTTATTTTTAAATTATATAATCTATTTGATGAATAACCTAAAATTTATTTTTATAACTGATTAAATGTAATTATTGTTATGAGTACTTTTAGTTTTAAAAAGACAAAAAAAAATCTCTAGATAAAATATTGATAATTAAGGTTTTGGAATTGAATTAAAGATAATATTATGTAAATCTAAAAAGTAATTATAATTTTGAATGATTAGCTATATCAGATTTCAAGAAGTTTTTTTATAATTAGAAAAGTGACCAGAGTGCAAACAGAAATAGGTGAACCATAATGTCAATAGCAAAATATTGTCCTTGCAATAAGTTATGAGGTATATACTTAAATAAATGACATATACATACACACATATACTGTATATATAAACAAAAAAATTTAATGGCAGGATATATTTTTTGTTTAAAATGTGTTTAATTATCTCACTATAAACTTGTCCCTTTGTTTTAACAGTTGCAAAGGTCAGTTAGCTTGATGATGCCTGTTTAACACAATTGAAAATGTTTGTTTTCTGATAAATTTTTGCTGAAAATTGGTTTTGTTTATTAATTATACCCAGTTTTGAGCAGTTGATGTAATATAATACATAACAATGTTCTTAATACATAAAATTTACTGGAAGTAAATAATTTTTATAATAAAAGAACATGACATGATTTTATAGTGAAAGATACAATGAATTAACATTCACTTTTTAAAAATAATGCAAAATAGTGGAATTGCAGAACAAAATATTCAATAATAAATTATATGCATCTAAAGATGAGCATAATGCTATGTACAAACTATTTATGGATAGAATGAGAAAATAAGCTAAGTGTTATAGATTACAGGATGGATAAGCTTTTATTAGAAAGATATTTTTATTTACTTATAATTAAAATAATCAAATTTGTGTGTTTTAATTTCAAAGAATAAGTTTGAGAAAATAAATTTGAAGGAAGATAGATTATTTTTTAATATAAATCACAGAATTAGAATGGAAATACAGTTTTTAAACAATGTATTCCACAAGATTTAATTTTGTAAAATCTGCAGGTGAAAATAAATTTATAGTTTTAGAATAGAAATTTAAAGCATTATAAAATGTAAATAATAAATTTGTACCATTAAAAATTTAAGAATTTTAATTTTATCAGTTATCTTTTCAAAATTTATGAAAAAAAATTCTTGATATAAAATAAAATACATGTTTATGATGAGTAATCTTTGCTCTCTACAAAATATTCTTTAACTTATATTTATTTAGATGCGTGCAATATTAGGATTTAAAAATTTAGAGGAAGAAAATGCTGATCAGTGTCCATGTGGAGACACGCTAAGAGAGTCTTTAAAATCTTATCATGAAGAATTGATGTCAAAATTAAAAATGGCATGTGAAAGTCAGGAACCTGAAGAGAAAACTGAAGCTGCATCAGAAACAGAACCAAGTAAACCTTGGTCTCAAAGATTATTTTCTTTTGTTAAAATGGTTAAAGCTGCTGAAGAAAAAGGAAAAGAACAAGAAGAATCTGAAGTTAGACCAGAAGGTAAAAATTAATGTTGTCTTTTAAATTCATATATGTGAATTTATTGTATATCTTGCTAGATATTTTAAATACTATTCGTAAAATTGCTCAATATTACTTTAAAATTTTTTTATTTTTGAAAAAGTAGTTTAATTTTATTAAATAAGTACTAGGTTCAAAATGATTTGTTAACAATTTAAATTAAAAATGAAATATTTGATATTTAAAAATTTTTAACTTTGGTGAAAGTTTGATTAAAATACAGGTAACTCCCGTATAACACGGCACTTCTATAGCACGGATTTGCTCTAACACGGTTCGAGAATTGGTACCATCCCCCGTATAACATGGTACTTTTATAGCATGGATTCACTCTGACATGGTTTGAGAATTGGGTAAAACCCTCGTACAACAGGAAATGTAATAAATTTTTACATACTTAAGTATTATTACTTATTATTTTTAAGTACTGATAGTTCACGAAAATTATTATTTTCGTGAACTATCAGTACTTAAGTATGTAAATTTTCTCTTCTCACCTATTGTCGATACACGTGGTCCTTCTCGAAACTTGTTTCAATGTTGCCAGATCGCGACGCTTCTGCTTCTGATGTTGCTGAATATTTTTTCCTTGTTCCATACTTGCTTTATTCTTCATAAGTGCTTAGCACCATATAAGGAAATTTGTAAAGACCTTTTAACTAGAAGCAAGCAATCTAAAATTACATACATTTTGCAAAAGGTAAAGCATGGATCTGAAGATAATGCAGAAAAATGCTCAGAGGATAAGGATAACTTGCCAAAAAGAAAACGCTCTCGGTTAATTAATAGTGTTTTTAGTGATGACGAAGAAAACATTGTTTAATTTATATTAATATGTATCACTTAAAAAAAATTTAATGAAAATATTTATCTTAATTATGAAAATATACTAGCATGTTTTTTAATTTTTGGAACCTAACCCTCCTTTTCGTATTAGTTCTTTGTTTTGTATAACACGGATTCGCATAACATGGCAATTTTTTGGAATGTAACTACCGTGTTATAAGGGGGTTACCTGTAGATCTAAAATTTTTACTTTTGATAAAAAATGTGATGTTTTAAAATACACATCATCATCAAGTACACATCATGTAAAGAAAATAACAATAATTCAAAAAATACTTAAATATATTTATATTTAAAGGAAGTCATTTTTCATTCTTTGAGAATGTCTAATTTTATTAACTAATGTTATGAATTAAAATTTGTGAAAGCATTTTTTTAATTTTAAATGTATTATAATGCTTTTTAATACAGAGTTATTTGTAAAGAAGTTAATAAGCACTGTTGTAAAATGGGCAGAAGATAATTTTCTAGAAGATCAAGAACTTATTAGACAAATGTTCTTTTTGTTGTTAAGGACATACAATGGAGTTGGAGAGGTAATAATTATTTTAAGTTTAAAATTTTAACTGTAATTATTTAAAGTTATCTATTTATATGCATGAAACTTACTGAATCTTATTTCAGTAAATTTTATATATGAAAAGAGAGAAGTTTAAATCAATCCATGTCAGTTTAGCTTTTTTTACTTTTTTGACTGTTATGTATAATATGTGTAACAAGGGAAACTATTGGAATTGTGCCAAATTTGACCGTCAGAGTTTTTTGCAAATCTTCATGTTTTGAAGCTCCTGAATCCAAAAAAGTCAAAAAACGTAAAAAATATTCCATGGGTGTGTGTATGTGTGTGTTGGCATCTATTTTGCTTAATGTCTCAGGATGGGGTAAAGATTAAAAAAGGGAATTTCACATGGTAGCTTGTATATGAGGAGCATTGATGCTATTAAATTTTGGTGGTGAAAGGTCAAGAGGGTGAGGAGATAGAGGGGGGTCATGTATCTCAAGAGGAGTAGGACTTAATGAAGATTTTATTTGTTATTAACATTTACACTTATTTATAAAACTAATCCTTATCCTCAAAATTAAATTTTTTGCCATTTTATAGTAATTAAAATCTTATAACAAATGCCATACACACTTTTTATTTTTACTTAATAATATAATATTTTAATAAAAACTCATAACAGCCGGGAAAGTTATGCAACTTTTGTTGCTGGATTTTGAGCTTGATATTCAACTTTTGAAATGAAGTTTAGTAAATAGAGGAATAAATATTTTAACAAAGTATTGTTCAGCAATATTGTAAATTTAATGAATCTCAAGTTACATTGATTTTTTTTTCTAAAACAAAGAAAATATTTAAAATTTTAGAAATTAATATAAAAATATTTTAAAATTAATCATGAGGACTGCTATCTATAAAAACTAGAAATTTTGAAAGTGTAATAATTGAAATATATAAGCAATAGGGGAAATATTTGTAGTTTCATAGATGTCTGATTAGCATTTTAAGTATTTAGTGAATTTAAATTTTTTTTGTTTGTACTATTATTTCTTCAGTACTATTAAGATATGAAAATAAATTTTGATAAATTGATAAATAATTCAGTTTGGAAATACAGTGAAAACCTCTATTAAAGAACACTCCTGAATAGTGGACACCTCTACTTAATGGACATTTTTACAATCTTCAAACTCTTAAAATAGGACATCTATTATATTTACGTCTAAATAGCAGATGCTGTCACTCATAACCAATCTTAAGAAAACAAATGTACCACTTTCAATATTCTAAAACAATTAATTACATATGAAATATTTGTAAACAAAAACAAAGAACCACTTCAAATACTTTTTCAAATGACAAATTTTTACTGTAGATGTTGAGTGAAGACTGGCTGAAAATAGGAATAGGGGAAGAGGGCAAGTTGTAAAAAGCTGAACAAAACTTTTTATCTCTTAGAGAAGAATTTAATATTACTTATCTCTTATCTCTTTTTATCTCTTAGAGAAGAATTTAATGTTTAGAGAAGAATTACACAGAAGTTTAATGTTATTAAACTTCTGTGTAATTATTGGAATTAAGCTTATGTTACCAAGAAACTATAAACTTTTCCTGAATTATTCATTCATTCAACAAGAACCTTAATACAGTAGTAATGAAAAGAAACTTAAAATGTTATGACAACAGTGTTTATGTTGTGAAAGTTCAAAGGTCTTACCTAGATCTTTTTGGCCACTTTAAAGTGTGAGAAGCTATTCAGTATTCTTGCATTTATGACATTATTTATGATCTTAACAGCTTTGTGATGGTTTAAGTGTAATTTTTTATAAATAATTTATTGAAAAAAAGCAAAAATGTTGAAAAATCATACCTACTTGATAACACAAAACAGACAAATTTCTATATTGATTTTTATTAGTTGCTTAGATAATAAATGATGTTATAAATGCAAGAATACCAAATATGTTTCTCACCCTTTGAAGTGGCTAGCAAATCACCTTTATAAGTCAACAATCAAACTTTTCACTGCCTAAATCGATCTTCATCCACTCTTCTGTTCATAACAACAGTTTCATTTTTTTCCCCCATTACTTCCACCCATGATGAATTAATAATTAAACAATGTTTATGCTTTGCCTTAATTTTTATGATCCATTTAAAGTATCCTGTCCAGTCTGTTTGCTATTTAGAGTCAAATTAAAATGTGATTTTTACATCTAAAAAGATAAATAATGTACTGTATATATATTTCTGTTATATATCCTACATATACTTTTTGGTATATTCGCACTCCTAATGCAAATTTGATGTTTTTTGTAATCCACTGTATTCTTCACTATATGATGACTATGTTAAAATTCAGTAAAGCTGTCAGCATGTACCTCTAAATAGTGGACAAACTTCTTGGTCCCAATGGTGTTGGCTATTCAGAAGTTATCTCCTGTATAAAAATAGTAACATTTGTTTAGTAGTATGTAAATTTTTGTTTTGTATGTTACTAAACAAGAAATTTATATGCTAAAAATAACAAAGTATGGTAAATTAATAATTAAGCATAATACATTTCTAGTTTTAAGAAAGATTTTTTGTATTGTTTATATTTGAAACTTTAGCCAAAAATTAATTTTGCAAATAGTTGTTTGATATGTATGTTTAGAATATCATGCCTCTATTTATCTAGTAGAATATCTTTTTTTCATTTTATTTAAAATATTTATTTTGAAGAGGGAATTAAATTTTTTAAATGTGTTAAAAATGTTATTTTTATTTTTTATTAAGAATATACTATTTTTTAATCTTATTGATTTAAATATAAATATTCATTAAAATTTGAAATATAGTTATATTTTAAATTTATTAAAACTTTAATCAGAAAAAAATATTTTTAAAAATAATACAGTAATTTTTATTTTGCTGTTTATAAATAATAATAATAATAAAAGTTTCTACTTAATTTTTCAGCTTATGAATGCACTAGAAAATACTTATGTCATCAGTAATAAGAGCAAAAATGATGTTGTTGTATTGTTGGGACATTTAGGAAAAATAAGAGCTTTACTACCTGTTCAAATGGGCCCAGAAGAAGAAGAAATCATGAGAGATAGTTTATGGTAAATTTGAATTATTAAAATTGCTAGTATAAATTTATAAATATATTAAATAATATATGATTCATAAATATATTTATAATATAAAGTTATGAATTAAATTCAGAAATTCAAAGAAAAACTTTTAGAATATTTTGAATTATATTAACAGACTTACTTCTAGAATATTAAATTTAGCATTCAGAATTAAATTAATTAAAATGGCTACTTAATTTCTTATTTTTAATGTAAATTACTTTATATGCAGTAGAACCTCAATTTTCTGAGGTAATGTGGACCAGTGCTACCAGGGATAACCAAAAACTTGAATAAAATAGACAGTGACTGCCATTTCAGATTAAAAACTTTATATTATACAAACCTTTTATATTCAAATCATTTTAAGCCTTTTTTTATATTGTAGTGAATTTAATCATATATAAGAATAACATTTTTACATCATTTATTATACATCTACTATGTACAGTACAATACTTTTAAGAATATATTATTATTGTTACATTTTAATATGAATGATATGACCACATTAATGTTAAATGATAAAAGGTAATAGAAATAACTTCACAACCAACAACTGCCTACCCTTAACCATTAACCGGTGCGAAATTCTTTAAAATCGGCNTTTGCCTTAGATAATGCAAAACCATGAATTCTTGGGATTCTATTATATTTAATTAGCCAAGTTATAGCCAGATAATCTGGCAGTATCATTTGATTAATTTATAATGTTTTGCTTAGTTTACTGTATAAAAGCTGTGCCAGAATAAAAGCTTAAAATCATCTGAATACCAATTAATTATAATAAACACTTGAATTTTTGCCAAGCATAAAATTATTTTATTTCAAACGTTTTCAACCTATTTATTATAGGCCATTTTCAGGCTTACGATTATCATTCCAAAATAGAACGTAACGTTTTTTGAATAAGTTTCATTTTTAAACTTAAAGATTTAGAATAATTGCGTATATAAAAAAATAAAAAAATACAATAAATAAATAACAGTTAAAATAAAATAAAATGGCATAAATAAATAAACACTGTATATAAGGCTAATTATAACTATTACAAGTTTTAAGGGTTTTTAATTCTCATGTTTTTTTCTATCATGTACTTCCATGGTATTGGAAGCGCATTAACATCCTTGGCATTTAGGTGACAGTTTTTTATTTTACTTTTATATATTACCATTTTTTCCATTTCTAATGCAATGGTTGGGAATTGGACTGTTTTAATGATTTTTGCCTCATCCCATTTTATATTTGTTCCTTCTGTCTGTGCTATGATTGCTAAAATGGTGTTGTTGTGCCCTTTATTAACGTTGTGTCTGTGTTCTCGCAGGCATATTGCTTAGTTTCTTCTGGTTACACCCACATAATCCTTTGCTACTCTTAATTGTTGATTTTCAAATGGTATTTTATACACTCCAGCTTTCTCTTGCATTTTTACTCTGTTTTTGTCATTCCTTAGTAAGATGTAAATGTTGGGTGCTCTTTTATATACCATTTTTGTGTTTTTATAAATACTCAATTCATTCATCACTCCTCCTATATACTTATTGTATGTGAATTTGTTAATTGCATCTACTTTAGTATCTTTTTTGCCTTTATGTTGTCTAACTTTTGTCCAGGCTTTCAACTGTGGTGGTTTTTTAGTCTAAATTTGTTGCAATTCTTTTAATTCTATCAATCTCCATAAGACGGTTTTGAATGTTGGTGCAACATAAGAACACTCTTTTAATAAGTGCCTTAAATGCTAATAACTTGTACTTATATGGATCATTGGACCACAATGGTATATATATATATAGGGGAGCATGCATGGGTTTTAAATACACTGCTGTTTGTACATTTCCTTGGTTAAATTTTATATCAGTGTATCAGTGTCCAAAAAATGGAGATGAGTATCGTTTTTCTGTTCTAGTTTTAGTTTTAACCCATGATCATTACTACTAAGGAAGTCTTAACTCATCTTCAAGGGTATTATGTTGGAAAATAGAATCTTAAATTTTAGATTTAAGTCTTCTAAGAAATCTGAAATCTTTTAAAAAGTTTAGTCTTATTCAAATATTATCAGACATTTTAGTTATTAACTTTTTTTAGTTTGCTGTTGCTTAGATGCTATTTTTATGGACTTACTCATACACTTTAATACTCATACACACAAAAATGGGTTGAATGACCCAAAAGAAAAGTTTAGAAAGGTACATTAATAAGCATTTGTTTTTCAATGAAGCAAGATTTAAGATATTTTGAAAATTAGAAATTCTGTTACAAAACTAAAGCTCACTACAAAATTTGTAAGATTATTCTGCAGTTCTACAGATCATAGAAAATCCAAATCTTAGAACCTTAGAAAACATTACTTACCGTTTCATATATCAAATTTTGATGATTTATTTTTTATTTATTTTTTCTTACTACACTAGTTTCAATTTCTGCCATAGTATAAATGTAAAAAATATGAAAACTAAAATAAAATACTCATTTATTCAATGTTGAAAACTATTATGATTAAATTATACCAATATTAATGATAAATGAAACATTAAATGACTTTTATTTGATGACTTTTTAATTAATTGAATTTCATGACTTTAGTATTGATCTGTTAAAGATCTATCAATATATTTCTTTAAGTTATATGTTTATTATAAAATTTTTATTAAGACTTTATTATAAAATTTTTCAGGACATTAGTAAACAACAGAGTGTTTTTTCAACATCCTGATTTAATACGTATTCTTAGAGTGCATGAAAATGTAATGGATGTAATGATGAATACATTAGGTAAAAGAGCTCAGACACAATCAGCTATTCAAGCCACTCCAGCAGCTGCAACATCACCCACTAGTCCAGGTCAAGCCACTGAAGCTGCTGAAAAGGTATGTATAGTTGATAAACATTCATTTATGTAAATGACTATAGTTATTTTCATTTTCTTATTTTATTTTAATGTTTATTTAAATTTTAAATATAGTAAAACCTTGCTTATTTGGACTTCACTAATTCAAAATTTATAATAATTTGGACTACTGTTTTGCGTTGTGTATTTTTTTTAAAATACTGAATTTGTTAATTTTAATTCGGACTTTAATAACTATTATTTTGCTCTTAGACAGATGGTCAAGATATGATTTGAACAAATGAACAAATGCAATTATTCGATAATGTTTATTAAACCATTGTATTTGTTTATTTAAAGTGCACAATAAAATTTGACTTTAAATAAAATATACTTCTTAGATCTTACAATACACATTTGAATAATAACCTGGTTAATGCAGACTTTCACTAATTTGGACTCTGCTTTCCACTAATTAGTCTAAATTAATGAAGTTCTATTTTAATAAATACAGTAGATCCCCCTATAAGACGGTAGATACGTTCCGTTCTTTATGAATCAATTTTGTAGGAATCATAGTTTACAAACTACGGCTGTTTGAAAGGTTTTCTTTCATAAAATTAATCGATTCTAGACTAATTCGACTCAACATTTCCAAAATACGTATATTTTTTTTAAAATAATCCGTATAAACTACGTTATAAACAAAAAATTGTAGGATTGCTTACCGAGTGTGTACCGTTCGACTACGCCCGTTGCTAAAGCTTGGTTTCGTCGCGGAACAGCGCATCAAACCGCGGCCGCGATTTCTGATATTATTTTTCTGCGAAAACTTCGTTGACCTTTGGAGACATCCTTAATATAAATAATTTTTATGGCCGTTAAATAAGAAATGTTTCTTTCACAAGAAATGTATAAAATTACAGTACTGGACAGACGATAGGTCGCCTAACTCGCCGTAGCGTGACGCTAGACGGCGAAAAATATATATTTAATTATAATAAAGTTACAATAAATTAAGTTAATATATAATTATATATACAGTACCTAATTTATATATAATTAATATATAATTATATGTACAGTACCTAATTTATATATAATTTATATAATACTGTCCAGACGATAGAAATCTCTCCGTAGCGTGGCGCTACGGACGGCGGGTAAGTAGTTCGGCTGCCCGATGACGTTTTACGTATTATAGGAGTTATTTTTACCGTTGTTTACGGATAATGCCACAATTTTTATAGGAATCATAACTATAGGAAACGCTTTTATAGGGGGATCTACTGTAATTATTTACTCTTATAAAAATATAAAGGAATAGCTTTTATAAAAAAAATTAGTTATGTATTTTTTTATTTCTAGTATTTATTCAAAACAATTGCTATTTGATAACTTTCAAGTTCAAAGACAGATAGTTATCCTTATTTTTAATTTATTATCTTGATTTACTCCTAGTAATATATATTTCTATTTCCTTAATTATCTTATTCTGCTCTTTCTCTTATTTTTTAGCCTAAGTTGGCTAGAACCTGCTGGAATCATCCACTACTCCCATACCTGATAATCTTGTGCCATTTCTGTCTATCTATACATACCTCTTTTGTTTCTTCCAAATTCATGATCCTTTTCACATATTCTCAGTGCCTTCTTTCACTCAGAATTTGTTTCTCTTTAAGACACTCTTCCACTTGCTCAATCCATCTTTTCCCCAGTCTTCCATGCCTTCTCCTTCCACACTCCACACATACAATTTATACACCTCATATTGCAACATTCTCTTAATGTGGTCAATCCAACACAGATACCCTTGACATATTCCTCAATTGTGTTTTCTTTCATGCCACACTGCACCAACACATATCCTTGTTACTCACCAGATCCTGCCTTGTCATACCACATATATACCTTATATATCTGATCTCAGATGCAATCACTCTCTTATGCTTCATTCTTTACCCTCACAACCATACAACAGGGTTGGAAGGAGTACACTCGTAGACACAGACATGCTTGCTTTCTTTGGAAACACATTCTTATGAACCAATCACCCTGGGTACCCAACCACTTTCATACAAGCATTCACTTGTCTTCCAATCTCCCTATGTATTTTGCTATTTCTTTCAAGGGTGTTCCCCAAGTGAACAAACTCTCTTACCTACTTTATTGTCACAGCTGTATCTTGCATTCACTCTTTGGCTCATCTCTTTCAAATATTAAAACTTTCATTTTCTCTCCATTTATTCTCAATGCCTGGAGGTTGAATGAATGCTGTGAAACAGCATTCATTCAACCTTAACATAAGATATTGCAGTTCACTTTGGCTTTTGGCCAGTAGAACAGTATCATCAGCAAATAATAAACAATTGAACAGTTCACCACTCACTTTCATATTCATTCACTCTTCTTTCAACTGCCTTACATATTTTTCCAAGTACATATTGAATAACCAAGGAGACATCATGCAGCCTTGGTAGATGCCCATAGTCACATTGATCCACTCTGACAGTTCATTGGCCACTCTAATGCATTCTGCTGTTCTCATACAATGCTTTTATTGCCTCATGCAGCTTCCTACTCACACCATACTCACAAATGTATAAGAATATTTCACAAGTACTCTCTTTTCACTTGGTTGTAAGCTTTCTCCATATCCACCAAAATATTTCTCAACAATTATTTGCAATTCAAAGATTTGATCCATACAACTCTTAACTGCCACAAAACCACACTGAGCATTCCATATGTTCGCCCTAGTAATTTTCATCTGCACAAGTTCTAGTGGAGAGGGTCTCCACTAGAACTTGTACAAATAGCTTTTCTAGCATGCTTATACCTCTATAATTCTTACATCCTGCATGGTCACCTTTCCTTTTATACAGAGCCACAATAATAGCATCTCTCCAATTATTTGGTACCCATCTTTTCTCCTAGCACATGCAAAAGAGGTTTATCATATCATGCTAATAACATATCACAATATTTTAACATTTCAGCACATAACTCCATCTACATCTGCATCTTTTCCCATTTTTAACTTGTCAATTGCTCTTCTCACTGTACACTGATCTTCTCACATCTACAGTCGTCCTCATTTATGCCTGTAAATGAGGATGGGCATGGACTCATACTTAGACACCTTGTTGCTGACATCTGCACATTCTAAAAGCTCACTGAAATACTCTCTCTTTTCAATTCATTCTCACTTCTCTAAACAGATCATCATTCTTATCTTTTTTTGCTTTTTGTATTCACATACACATCACTACATTTCACTTTTCTTGTATACTGTCAGAAAGCTTTCTTATCGTCCTTAAAAATGCCATTTCTGACTTCTCTGCTCTTTCATCCTCAACACGTTCTTGGCTCTTGACTGTTGGTTTAATTTTTATATCCTCATATTCTGATTTAAAATTATTAACTTAATGCAATATTTGAACTAAATTAGATAACTACAGTGGACCCCTCCTATAACACTGTAGATAATTCCGTGTTATATGAATTCCATGTTGTACGAGTCACTTAGATTTTACAAATACGTGTGCCGGGCTGTGAACAGCTCATGTATTTGTAAAATCTAACTGACTTGTACAACATGGAATTCATATAACACTGAATTATCTACAGCAGGGCTTCTTAAACTATGGGTTGCGACCCCATTTGGGGTCGCTTAGCGAAATCTTGGGGTCGTGAGATTTTAATTCAAAATATTGAAAATAATTTGTGAGAGTTTGAAAATGGCACACTTTGTGTCATAGGTTTCGTGAGTTGCGCTTTGTGTCACTTCTGGTGCAGTGAGACAATGATTCAGCAACACTGATTGTAGTGTGAACTAGCGTAGTGTTGTCGCTTTTCAGTGTATTCAGTTGTCTCTGTTCCATTGTAACACAAGAGTGAACTGTGGTAGCACACCATTATTGTTTTTGCAAATTTGTATATATCTTTATTTTATATTTTTTGGGTCGCGAAAAAAATCACAATCATAAATGGGGTTGTGAATAAAAAAAATTTTAAAAAGCCTTGATTACAGTATTATAGGGGGTCTACTGTAGATGTTACATTTTGTATAAACTTAGATGCTACATTTTTCCTATTAAATAGATTATTATTTTTTTTTACTAAAACATATATTATAAGACACAATATATTTTTAAAATAGCTGTATAAAAACTTTGAATTTTTTATTTTTATTACAGGATACATCACATGAAATGGTGGTTGCTTGTTGTCGCTTCCTATGCTATTTTTGCAGAACTAGCAGACAGAATCAAAAGGCAATGTTTGAACATTTAGGATTTCTTTTAGAAAACAGCAACATTCTGTTGTGTAATATATATTTATAAAATTTATATTATAATATTATAATACTATTTATAATACTAATATAAAATATTAGTAAAATATTAATACAGGTAACCCCCGTATAACATGGTAGTTATGTTCCAACAAATTGTCGTGTTATGCGAAACAAAGAACTAATACGAAAAGGAGGGTTAGGTTCCAAAAATTAAAAAACATGCTATTATATTTTCATAATTAAGATAAATATCTTTATTAAAATTTTTTAAAGTGATACATATTAATATAAATTAAACAATGTTTTCTTCGTCATCACTAAAAACACTATTAATTAACCGAGAGCGTTTTCTTTTTGGCAAGTTATCCTTATCCTCTGAGCATTTTTCTGCATTATCTTCAGATCCATGCTTTACCTTTTGCAAAATGTATGTAATTTTAGATTGCTTGCTTCTAGTTAAAAGGTCTTTATAAATTTCCTTATATGGTGCTAAGC